TTTTCACATGTTCGTGTGATTTGGAAAAAGTCTGTTTTGGTCAGTTGATTTGCTAATGAAGCCTGGCTTTGCCCATTTACTTTTAAGTTATAAGCTCTATATACAATGAATAAGCCAAATCTGCAGTTCCAAGCTTTTAAAAATATATACTTAAAGCTCAAGATAAGATAAATAATTGTAATAAATAATATTGTATTTGGCAAAAGGTTTGTAAAAATGTTAATATCTTTACTTTCTCAATTCTGAGTGAAAAAAATAAGGAGCCTTGAATTGAATGAGTTACATGAATAATATGATGTATTTTCAAAGCCTTTTTGGTGTGCTTCCCAGAAACGGAGAAAGTGAGTGACTCAAGCAAGGGAGGACCTAAATGAGATGCCTGGTAATAAAATAAAGAACAATTTTTGGTGATAGAGTGCTCTGTGATTTTTTTTAGTGTATTCTTAGGAGATTAGAGATTTTAGTGACATTGTTATTACAAAACAATTTCCATATTTACCTATATATTTGGACATATTTTGTCAGTGTTTATCTATAAAAATTTAAACTATAAATAGAACTAATGATGAATCCTGTCTTACCTAGCAATAACTAATATTCCTCTGCTAACATGTGGACTACTGACAAAAAATATTGCACCATTCATCTCACCAAAAGATACATTTCCAATAAAATGCCATAGAAGGGTATATCAGGCTAACCTTTTCACAGATAAAATCATAAACTTTGGACAAAATACAAGAACCATTACAGTCACACACCCCATAACAATGTTTCAGTCAATGATGGACTGCATACTTATTTACATGACAGTGATCCCATAAGATTATAACGGAGCTGAAAAATTCCCATCACCTACTACACCATGGGTGTTGTACCATCATAGTGCAATGCGTTACAATTGCCTACAGCGTTCAGTATGGTAACATGCTGTATAGGTGTATAGCCCAGAAGCAATGGGATATACCATACAGCTTAGGCTATACCATCTGGGTTTGTGGAAGTGCACTCTATGATGTTCGCACAATAATGAAATTGCCTAATGACACATTTCCCAGAATATATCCTCATCGGTAAATGATGCATGATTATATTTGATGACACTAGAAAGCACTCAAAAGCCAGCTGGCAATAACTGATGGGATGGCCACTCTTCAAAGAATTGAAATATAATGAGTGTGATCTATGCTCATACATCTTTTCATCTGAGAGCACTACTCAGGTTGCACTGTGAAAGGCAGCTGGAATTCAATCAAAAAGCCACAGTCTTAATGGCTTAAGGAATTAAAGGATGAAGTCTGGGGATTCCAGAACAGCTCGAGATTGAGGTGGGAAACCCTGAAAAGGAGGGAGTAATAGGAGAGAGTTCCAAAATCTATACATACATTCTGCCCAAATCCTTGGTTGACCCCTGAGTTCTGTGCGCATGGTGGATAGTCCAAAGAGCTCCGGAAAAAAGCAACAGCTAAAAGAAATGATCAGAAATTTCAGGTAGAATTTGACTTCAATGGAGTTAACTACCTACTAAAATACATCAACACTCATCAGAGGAAGATAACAGAATTCAAGGCTCTAAATATTATTGATGTTATCCAGTAAACAGTTAAAAATTAACAGGTATGTAAAGACAGAGAAAAGTTTGATTCATTGGCCAGAGAAAAAGTAGTCAATAGAAACTCATTTCAAAATGACTCCCATGCAAGAATTAGCAAAGACTTTTAAACAGTCATTACACATAATCACTTTTTAAAGGACTTTAAAAATAAGTGGTCATAATGAATTAACACATGGAAAATAGCAGAAATGTAGACACTCTTTAAAAAGAACCAAATGGAAATTCGAGAACCGAAAACTACAAAATTTGAAATTAAAAAGTCCACTGGGTGGGTTTAACAGCTAATTGGAAATGGCTGAAAAATGGGCAAAGAACAAATGAAGAGAAATTATCCAATCTGACAAAGAGATACAAACTCCTGGAAAAAAATGAACAGATTCCTACTAACCTGTAGGATAATATCAAAGAGTCTAACATACATGTAACAGGAATGCCACACAGAAAAAATATTTGAAAAATTAATGGCTGAAATTTACTCAAATGTGGTGGACTACATAAATTAACACATTCAACAAGCCCAGCAAAACTCAAGCTGAATATAAATACAGAAATTCATACCAAGAGCATCAGGTCAAACTATTGAAAACCAAAAATAAAGAGAGAACCATAAAGACAGCTGGAGAAAATGAACTTGGTACACATCGGGTGGGTGGGTGAATGGATAGGATTCGGACACAGTGAAGGCTAGAGGACAACAGCATTACACAGTTGGAGCCAGGAAGGAGGTTACCATTCATCCAGAATTCTATATCCAGAGCAAATATCCTTTGAAAATAATGGTGAAATAAAAATAATTTCAGATAAATGAAAACTTCGAATTTATTACCCGCAATCTGCATTACAAGAAATGCTTTAACAGATTCTTCAGAAAGAAGGGAAATGATAGTAGATGGAAACTAAGATCTACAGAAAGGATTGAAGAGCACTGGAAATGGTAAAATGAAAGATTATACATTGTTTTCTTAATTTCTTTGAAAGAAGTGTGATTATTTAAGGCAAAAATGATTCACTGTACTTAAACATATGTGGGTCTAACATATAGCACAATGATAATATATAGAATGAATGATGGGGACTCCGGCCAGCGGTGTCCACGGTGTTGTGGATGGGACAAACAAATTCACAACAACTACAGAAGTCCTGTGGAGAAAAATGTCCTGTCTCAACCACTCTCTGAGACAGAGAGTGCCTCGACCCCTGCCTGGACAGGCTTTTCTTGCTTTCTGATAGCATACATCAAAGAAGGTTCTCATTCATTATGCTCAGGTTTGCTTTAGGTGATTACTTTTTACAGATAACAAAGGAAAAATGTTGCAAATGCAAGGGAATAAGAGGGATTGGTCTGATTACACTCCATCCTTGGGAGAATTAGCACAGACTTCAGGAAGTTACTTTAAAGATATGCAGTGAGCATTTGCTTCTTCACCTAATGGTGAAAGAGTTTTAGCAAGAGCAGGTCTCAAAGCAGCTTAGGTATGATGCGGGCCTGGTTTCCCATGGGAAAGCTGATCCGAGGGTCTGGCTTTCTGTGTGCTGACTCGCACCTGTTGGTTTTCCAATAGGGCTGAGCTACATTTGCCATTGCCAGACAGATCAGTTCGCTATACTTGCGGGATAAATGGAACTATAATGCTGCAAGATTCTTACATTTTATGTTAGGTCTAAGTGCATTGAAATAACTAAGGATATATACAGTAAACAACAGAGTAGGGACTAAAAACTAATGTAAAGACTTTTAGCAAAAGGTCAATAGAAGAATTAAGATGAAATATGAAGACATATTAACTGAAAAGGAAGCAAGGAAGGTGGAACAAAGGAACAAAAAAGGATAAAACAAATAGAATACAAATTGTAAAGCAATAGATCTAAATCCAACCATGTTAATATTACATTAAATGTAAATAGACTAAACACTGCAATTAAAAGGCAGAAATTATCAGACTGGATTTAAAAAAACAACAACTATAAGCTATCTACCATTCATATTAAATATAAAGTCACAAATAGATTGAAAGGAAAAGGATGGAAAAAAGATTTACCATTGCAAGAAGTAAGCCTAAGAAAGGTGGAGTTGTTGTATTAATATCAGAGAATGTAGCAATATAGACTTCAAGCCTGGAGTACTAAGAGAGATAAGGAGGGATAGTTCATAAAAAAGAGAGAGAAGAAAAGATCAAATCATGAGTAAGACATAAAAATCCCGTGTATGCACCTAATAACTTCAGAATCCATAAAGCAAAAACTCACCAAACTAAAAGAATAGACAAAGCCACAATCATAGTTATATTGTAGTACCCTATCAGTAAACAAAATCCATAATTAAAAAATCCATATAGGTGATGTGAACAACATTGTCAATACTTAACTGAATTGATATTTATAGAAACAACTGATAGTTATAGAACCACTCAATCTGCAGAATACACATTCTTTTTAAAGCACACATGCAATGTTCACCAAGGTAAATAATATTTTGGATTATTAAATAAGTCTCAATTAAATTTCAAAGGTTAAAATCTTAGAGTATTTTCTCTAGCACAACAGAATTAAATTAGAAATCAATAATAGTATCTAGAAAAATCCCTAAATATTTGGAAATTAAACAACACACTTCAAAGAAGTGAGTCAAAGAAGAAATCATAATGAAAATAAACAACTGTTTAGACCTAACTGAAACTAAAAGCATAACATATGAAAAAACGTGTAATGCAGATAAAGCAGTGCTTAAAGAAAAATGCATAGCTTTATTTAAAAAATAGCTTATACTAAAAACATTAAAAATAGAAAGGTGAAGAATTATAATGTAATCTACTCTAAGCAGCTAGAAAAAAACAAGAGGAAATCAAACCCCAATTAATGGGATGACAGAAATGAATAAAGAGCAAAACTTACGATACTAGAAAACAAATACAATGGAACAAGAGATAGGTTTCTGAAAAGATTCAAAAAGTTGATAAACTTTTAGCTAGATTACTCAGGGGAAAAAAAAGAAAAGAAAATACTAACTACCGATATAGGGATGTCTGAACAAAGGACAAGGCCCCTGCTCTCACGGATTCTAGTGGGAGAAATAAATGTTAAATAGTCACGCAAGGAAATACAGAGGTATAGACTGTGGCAAACTGGGAGAGAAGTCTTCAGTGGAGACAGAGGCCGATATAAGCCGGAGAGAGGCACTCTGGGTAAACAGACTAACTCGGACCCCAAGCCAAGGGTCCACAAACAGCAGCACCAGCCCTGCACACGCGGGACCCACGGTGCTCTCGGGCAGGTGGCGGCTTAGCGCCGCGTCCCGCCCCACGACGCCCGGGCCCTGACGCACAGGCGCGGGGCGGCGCGCGATGGGGCGTGGCGGCCGGCCGGCGGGGCGGGGCAACCGCTGGGCGGGAACCGAGCGGCGCGGCACTAAGTGAGGTGGCCGCTCTAAGACGCGGCGACTCCCGGTATCCCGCGATGCCGAGACCGGACGCGGACGGCTCGCCTCTCTGAGCCGGTGTCGGCGCGGAAGGCACCGAGGGAGGCCATGGCGGAGTCCTCCGAGCCCGGGCGGCGGGTGGCCGCGGGTGGCGAGAGCCTGGACGAAGAAGAGGACGAGGAGCGGGAGCCGCTGCTGCCGAGGATCGCCTGGGCCCCGCCGCGGAAGGGAGCCCCGGGGACCGCCGTGAGGCTGGTGGGGGATGCAGGGGAGGCGGGCGCGGCGTCCCCTGACCAGGCGGACGACAGGGAACTGCTGCTCCGGCCCGCAGACTCGCCCCGCTGCCCCTCCCGCGGCGGGGTGCTCCCGCGGAGCTCTCCCACCGACCTGGACTGCAGCCGCTCCGTGGGCTCAGGTGCGACCCGGCTCTGCCCTTCTCCCCGAGGCCGTCCCGGGGTGGCCCCCCCCCCGTCCCCGCCCCTCCCCGGGCCCCCGCTCCTGCTCCCCGCCTTGTCCCCGGCTCCATTCTCTGCCTCTCACCAGCGCTTGTCTAGTAAGAAAGGCAATTAGTTGGCCAGGCATCCCGGCCGGGGCACGGGCCAGGGGCCAGCCGCGGGGCGGACCTCGGACACCTTCTGTGCCCGTCTTCCCCGCCCCCGCGCCTCCCGCACCTTCCCCAGGGGCTGCAAACTACTTCACCTACGGCCCGCGGCTGTCCTTCAGCTCTGATCCCCGAGGCCTCCCTTAATAGGGAGCCCAAACTTTTAGAATCAGACACTGGAGGAAACTTAACATTGTAAAGTGACGTAAGCTGTTTGCTCAAGTTTGGACTTGAGTTTTGGGCTAAGAACCCTGAAGTATGCAGAAGGTTCCCGGGATTATGCATTTGCAAGATGTACAGCAAGAATAGCCAGTAGCTACTGGGACACGTTTCAAAAACTTTTGCTATTAAATGTTGTTATTGTGACGTTGGCCAGAGGGGGCAGAGGCTGTTGCATTTCTGTACCTGCTGTCTCCGGCGAAGTTTTTTTTTTTCCCCCCCGCCCTTGAGTTCCTTCTGTTATTGTACCTTAAAAAGAAAAAAGAATATATTGTTAAGCGGACTGATAGCCTCAGGTGAAAGAGAGGGTAACTGAAATGATGTTGAAAGTTAGTAAAATTTAGACATGCTACCGCAGGCATGGATATTTATTATTTAGGCGGGTTTTTTTTTTGTGGCATGGCAGATGGAGTTAGGCTAAATTGATAGATAGTAAAATAGACTTATACGAGTTCTACTTATAGGCGAGACGAGTTAGTTTGTAAAGTCGTGATAGCACCTACTTGCCAGTGGTTAGGATGGTTTAAACGAGATAGTGTGTGTACTAATTAATGCCTGGATTATGGCGAGAGCTTTTCCAAAGGGCCACAGAGCCCTTGCCAGGTACCTCGGCGCCGGGGGCGGTTAGAGCGACCCCGGGTACCCAGAGGGGTGTGGTCAGGACGCTAGAAGAAACAGCCAATGAATGCCTACTCAGGTGGAAGACCGGCGAAGTTCTCCTCTCTGTGTCTGTCTGCCTGTCTGCCTCTCTCCCTCCTTCCCTCCCTCCCTGTCCCGCATCCTTTCCTTCCTGCCCCGCTCTGCTTCTCTCTTTCTCAACTCAGTTTTTTTAAAAGCCATAGAAAATGTTATTTTCATTAATGCTGCTTAGTTTTTCTGGAGTTGTTAGATTTTTACTTGTGTTTACTAGTGCACTAATGGGCCATCTACATTTTAAAGAATTTTGGACAGACTGGGTTATTCAGGTTGTAGATGAATGTAAGAGTCAAACATATTTAGAGTACACAAATCAGAGAGGCCTAATGGAAGCAGACTTTCAAATTTAAGAGTTTCATGAATAATGCAGGTTTAGAAAACCGTCCCGACATGCAGGTTGGCTACCATTGTGTTAGCTAATGGATGCATTGGCTTTACAACATGTAACAGAACAAACAAGCGTGAAGTCGGAACCGGATCACAGGTGGACCCACACTCACCAGCTGCATTGATAATTTGGATGTATATCACCTAGAGTCCAGTCTGTGAAGTAACTGCAGTCTGTGTGTCTAGCTTGCCTTTTTCTACCCCAAATTTACCTTGGCAGCTAAATTTTAAAAAGAGCCTAAAACCTTAAAAGTGTGTTTATTCTGTGACAGTGAGTGAGGTTTTGTAAAGAAATAATATTAAGGCCAGAAAAACTAAAAATGGTGATATGGTACTTGGAATACAAATGGATTATGAAAAAGAATTCCTGCCTTTTTAAATTGTAATTAACTTCTATTACAGTCTATGATTTAGGATCTTTTTGTGTATTTTGTTCTCACAACATAGCAAGGTAGTTGCTCACCCCCATCCCTGTAGTGAGGATTGAAAGTGAATGAGAAACTGTAGTGACCAGTATTTAGTTACAGAACCTCAGAGGTCGTTGACGTTAGGTATCCAGGAAGTGCTAAAGCCAGGACTCGCAGCCTGGTTCTTCACGTCATGCACTTTCTCCATTCGCGGTAGGTCCCCAAGTGTTACAAAACCTTTGTTACTTTGGTGATTTATTATGGAGATCGTATTTTAAGGCATTTAAAAATAGTTTTGAATCGTAAAAGTTGTTTTATAAATTCTAAACCAGCCTCCTAAAAAGTGGACGATTGAGTAATTTAACTCTATACTTAAGGTTAGTTGTTTTTTAGAGTACGTTAATTTCCTTTACCATCCAATTTCCATGAAACCACATCTCTAGTTCCAAGAAATTCTTGCCTTTGGATGAATAATAACAATTTATGACTGTTCTGTTTATGTAATTTATGTACTTGAGCCAGTGGGAGAATGTAGTACGTCTCTCATCTTTGACAAGGCATTTGACAGAGTCGAGAACCAGCTTAAACCATAGTGTTGGTGGATCGATGTCAAAGTAGAGGGGTTAGTGGCATTCCGTGTTCTGTCATTTTAATCAGTGAGTTGGGGAGTGATAAAGATGATAATAATTAATCCCTACATAACAGTACATGTAGGATGTAGTTCTGTGCACTTCGTGTATATTATTCATAACCAGCCCTGTGCATGCGCACTTTTTTTTTAAATTCTCATTTTGAGGAAGCACAGAGAGGTAAAGTGACTTCTTCAAGGTCCTGTTAATACAAACCAGGAGCACTTAGCCAATTTTGTTAGTAAACCTAACAATCAGAGAATTCACAAAGAGCTACTAAAGTAAAAGAAAGTGTGTATTTATAGCCATGTAATGATTGGTGGTGGCTTATAAATATAGGAACAAAATAGAATTTGAAAATAAGGAGGAAAGATGAGAATGGGAAATAAGGATAATAGAACACATAGAGAGGGGCTGGAATAAGTGTACAAAATGCTCACCAGACACTTGGTGCGGGCAGCCCACAAATTTGATTTTAAGGTTACTGAGCAGCTGACTTGCGAGAAACACTATTGGTGTCCATAAACTTAGAGCAAACTGAATATTTGAAGCAAAACAATTGAGAAACGATGACCTGTCATGTATTCTCTTGGGGAAGAGACTGTATGTTAAATAGTATCTTTGTAATGAAAGTGATTGGTGTTGTGGTATTTCTTACAACTTCCCTGCAGCCCATTTCACTAGAATACTTCTGATGGGTGGCACTGTCAGTATTGCTGGATCTAGATTCACAACGCTGGTAATCCGGCTTAATTTAGAGGAGGGTATTAGAAGAATTGATGTCCTTCCTAGGTGTCTTGACAATTCTCCATAACTCAGCTTTTGGAACGTATTAAGCAGCAGTGTTTTGGGTGCAGCATGGGGGTGGGTAGATGCTGGGCCGAGGGCTAATGACATTTTTTTTCTTATTGCTTCTCTTAGTGAAATGGGAAACTAGATCATCTGCTGAGAGAGGGGATGTTGGAAATTTGGGGAGAGGAGAGAGTGTGAGGTGGTTGTTCAGAAGAGTGGGAGAGTCTGTAGGCTGGAGTCGTCTTAGTTTGGGCTGCTGAAACAAAATACCATGAATTGGGTGACTTAACCAACAGTCATTTGTTTCTCTCAGTTCTGGAGTCTGGAAGTGCAAGTTCAGGGAGCCAGCATAGCCATGTTCTGAGGGCTCTCTCCCTGGCTTGCCACCTTCTCAGGGTACCATCACATGGCAGAGGGGAAGAGACCCCACTGTGGGCCCTGGTCTCCCGATGAAGGCCCTGTCTTCCTGAGCTCCTCTAAACTTGATCACTCTGAAAGACCCATCTTCTGATACAATAACACTGGGGGTTAGGGCTTCAGCGTATTTGGGGGAGAGACAAACATTCCGTTTACTACCAGAGTGTAGCATGCTGCCTGGGCAGCATGAAGCCCACCGGAGGTTTGCGGTGATGGGTTTCCAGTGAGACCAGGCATTCTGGGTGCGTGTGCCTCTCCTGACAAGTTCGGCCGGCTGAGCACAGGCATAGTCAGCTGACAGCTGGGTTTAACCAGGGCTGGGGTTTTTCCAGGAGCCCACGATGAGGGGATAGGAAGGGAATGATCATATGATCACTGACCGTAAGTTAAGGTGACCAAGGAGGGCAAGAAAGGCACGAGGGAGGTAAAGATCAGTGACAACCTGACACATGAGGGCTTCGTAGTTCCTGGTGGGATGGGAGAATTAGGGGCTCAGGATGCCAGAGGAAAAGTGAATTAGATATAAGGTGCTTGGAATTCAGAGTATGGAGAGATTGCAGGTATTGGTAATGACATATCTGGGGTGTGACTGTGCAGTTGGAGACTTCGGTAGAATGGCAAACAAAATCAGTGGGAGTGAGGAGTTCAAAGTAATGTGAAAGAGTAGTGTGTTTATGTCAACAAATAGGGGTCGAGCGTTCCATGTGTCATCACTTGAAACTTGAAGAGAAGTGGGGGTAGTGAGGAGGAGGAGGATCCAAGGAGCCCATATACTGCTTGATTACGTTCTTATACTTTCATGTCCTAATGCTGTTAACCTGATCCCACATGACAGGTTCATTTCATGAGCGTTCTCATAGCTGGTCTTCTTTTTTCTTCATGTGCTACCTTAACATTGATTTTTTTAATGCAATAATTGTTGGTTCTTCAGAGTTGAACACATTCTTGGATGATCCAGTGTTTGCTGATGTTATTTTGAAAGCAGAGCAAGCAATTGAATTTGGAGTTTTTCCAGAAAGAATCTCTCAAGGTTCAAGTGGAAGTTATTTTGTCAAGGATCCTAAGAGGGTGAGAATTTCACAGACCTCCTATACATAACAGACATTTTGGGAAACACTAACTTAAATGTGAAGTCCTTGCAAGTTTCTGAGATAGTTTCCTAACCTGATTACACCCTCTTTGCAGAAAGAAAGGTCAGTTTTTTCGTGTGTGTGTGTGTGTGTGTTGTTTTGTTTTTTAACTAAAGTGCTACTATTTAGAAATCAACCTATTCATTTGAAGTCATAGTTTGCCGTTCTATTATTTTACTATTTGGTTTTAAACGTTTATTGAATACTCACTTTCAGCTGTAGAGTTTTTGCGTTTATCATGAGGCATTATGTTATAGTAGTCTAGAAACATAGTAGCCAAGCAAGGTAGAAGTTTAAACTTTCAAAACCTTTTTAATGTTGTTTCCAAATTGCTTGACTTTTTCCAAAGTTTTATTTTACCCTAGCAATATTATTTTCCTGCATTATACCAGAGTAGGAGCCTGGGAAGTTTGAAGTTTGAATTCATTGGAATGAGACAAAGTGAAATGAAATGAACCAAACCACAATTTAGGGCAGATAAGAAAAGCTGATATGGGACTTTGTTCCACTCAGTATAGAATTTTTCAAATACCAGTGTTATCATTTGTAAAAGCTTTCTGAATGATGCATAGCCAGCAGTTCCTTTTAGACATCCATGAACAAAATTTTTTTAAGAGGAGAAAATTATTGGAAAAGAGATTAGAGTAGGACTCTGATAGCATAGATGTTCACTATGCCCTGTCATTACCTTTGTATTTTATCTTTGTCATTATCTTTGTTTAGAGAACACTTTTTGTCATTGGGTTTATTAATTTAACAAACGCTTGGATGCCTGCCGAGTTTCAAGGACGGTTCTGAGTTCCTGGGATACAGTCCTGAGAAAGTCCCTGCCCTTTTAGAATGTACATTGTCGAGTGGGGAAAGTAGACAATAAGCAAATAAACATATAATTTGGGTATTTAACAGATACTGGGTAATAACTATTGGACCTAGAGCAGTGGTTTTCACACATGGTAAAGTCAGTGTTATCCTTTACTCACCTGGAAATCCAGTAATGTAAAACAGGTGGAATCACAGCAGCTCTGGGTAAGGGGCATGAGGTCTCACAGCCCTGACCCCCCTCCCCTCATGCCTTCTCTCGGGTTCCCAGAGCACAGTTTGAAAACCACTAGCCCAAACGATCATTGAGTGTACACTGTTGAACGAGAATGAATGTAAAAATGTGAATGGAACGGAATCCCTCCATATTGAAGGGTTATGTCCAAGTCTGTGGTGGGGAGAAGTATAAGAGATTTACCAGAATGAACTTCATGGATTATTACTCTCTATATGAAAAGTGTAATAAGATTTCTCCTTTTCTCTCCGTATAGAAAATTATTGGTGTGTTTAAGCCCAAATCAGAAGAGCCTTATGGCCAACTGAATCCAAAATGGACCAAATATGTTCATAAGATCTGCTGCCCGTGCTGCTTTGGCAGAGGCTGCTTGGTGCCCAACCAGGGGTATCTTTCCGAAGCTGCTGCCTCCCTTGTGGACGAAAAGCTTCATCTGAGCATTGTACCGAAAACAAGGGTAAAGGAGAATCTGTTTTTAAGCCCGGACTTCTGATTTCTAGCCCACTTCTCTGTAAACACACTTCCAGTGACAGAGCCTGAATTTGAGCCCCCTTTTTCTGGTAATCCAGTCATGAGCGGCTAACAGATTGATTCTAGTGTGGATCCACAGAGTGAGCACCCAAGGGAATGTCTTTTGCACACATGAGCTGAGATGATTCTGACAAAAAGAGGAAAAATAACTAATTTTTAGAAGGCAGATAAAGATCAGGGATCTAGAAATTCTGTGGAAGATAAAGATAACTAATGTACTCAAAAAACTATTTTTTTTTCTTTTTGCCCTTTATATGTTTTTACTTGAAGACTTCCTCAAAATATTCCTTCCTAATTGTATGTGTCAAGACTATACTTTCTTCCACTGGCTGTTTTGAGGCTCCCTGTCAGAGAGAAATATGTGTCATCTAACTGCCTGCAAAATCCCTTAGCCTTTCCATTTTAGATTCTCTGAGGCATTTTGTATGGGATTAAGCTTTGCTAATTTACAGTATTCAAGTGAGTTTCATGATATATATGAATATAAATACTATCATGCAAATTCTAATAACCATTTTTCTAAACTGTATGTTTTTAGGTGGTTTGGCTTGTCAGTGAGACATTTAACTACAGTACCATTGACCGTGCAAAAGCTAGAGGCAAAAAGTATGCCTTAGAGAAAGTGCCCAAAGTAGGAAGAAAATTTCATCGGATAGGACTCCCTCCTAAGGTAAGTTTCTGCGATAAGCTGTGTTGGAGGGGGACAGTTCAGCACCTGTTACCCGAGCTCCATGTGCTAGGCGTCGTGCTGTGGGCTGTGGAGGTAATAGTGAAGAAAAGAATCTTTCATCTTCACAGAGCTTATAGTAAAGAAACAATCGCAATGCAATATGATGTTAGGATGGGGAAGTGCAGGGAACTCAGAGGGGACAGGTGTGGGATGTCTCACCCACTTTGGAGGGCTGGGGCGTGTTTGCCAGAGGAGGTATTTTATAAAGCATCTAAAGCTGTGACTTAATTACAAAGCATCTAAAGCTTTATAAAATAACGGCTGAAAGCACAGGTCCAGAATCAAACCTAGGTTTCACTCCCAGCCTCTCTACCAGTTAGCTCTAAGACCTCAGGCTAGCTCCTTACTCTCCAAGCCTCATTTCTGTAAAGCGGGGGATGATCAAAACTACCTCTTAAGGTTGTGAGGATAAAATGAAGAAATTTATGCCAAGTACTTGGTACAGTCCTAGCATACAGTAAAGTAAGTGGTAGTACCTGTTTACTCATTACATGTTAAATTTCTTTTTCTTACCCACTTTTAAATAAACCTAAGGGATGAGTAGCTGCTAGCTAAGCAAGAATGGGGAGGATTGATGGGAAAGATATTTTAGAAAAAACTCTAGGCTTTTTTCAAAAAAATATATTTAACCTGTAGTTTTGTTGTTGTGTTGTAGCTGTGTATTTATCTAGATAAAAGAATTTGAGTAGAAATCCATGGTCAGCCTAACTTGTCTCTAAAATCATATTCGAAGTAAGCAAGAAGTTGGAAAAAATTTATGAGGCCGGTTACAGGAATTCTTGAATATGCTGAAATAAGTGTGACTAAAAACAGATATTATTTCCTTTTTTATGACTACTGTGACTTAATTATGAATGCTTTGGAGAAAACCTTTAGAAAATCATTAAAATTTCATGCTAACAATGAGAACATAAATTGTGAAGAACCAATAAGAAGTAGATTTTCTTTGTGGTGATTTCCTTGTATTTATGAGACCAACTAGGTACTAGGTTACCTATTACCTGTGTGCCATGTGCTGTTTAAATTTGTATTTACTCTAGTAACTTTTTCAATGCTAACAACCAGTAACTTTTAGTGATAGAAATTCCTTTTGTCCTAAAATAACTGCTACACTCCTTGAAAGTCTAGGGTTGAACACTTTTTATTGCTATGTATTCTCTTTATCTGATTATTTCAAACGGGTGTGTAAAAATAGTGTTCTTGATAAATTGTGGCTTATCTAAATTAATGTTAACTCTTCTGTTTTTCTTACTGTGTTTATATATTTTATGATGATACTGCTGAGAAATTTAAAAAATAATTCCCTTCGTTCTTGTACTTTCTTTTCTAACTATAGTTCTTAAAATTACAGATTGGTTCCTTTCAGTTATTTGTTGAAGGTTACAAGGAGGCTGAATTTTGGCTTAGGAAATTTGAAGCCGACCCTTTGCCTGAGAATATTAGAAAACAATTTCAGTCACAGTTTGAAAGATTAGTGATTTTGGATTACATCATCAGAAACACAGGTATTGAGGTTCTCTCATTTGTTCCCTCGAAACCTTGTTAGTTTTCAAACGGTTTTCAACCATTATCCAAACCAAAGGCATGAAGTTTTCACGCTGAAGTCCTGAGGCCACTTTTTGCCGACCTGCCTTAGAAAAACGGAGATGCAGCACGTCCTCTCCCGGTGGAACTGCTCCTGCTCTGGAGACCCTGCCTCCTAGCGGGCCCCTGCCTGGCGGCCGAGATCAGTCCCTGTCCCTGGTGCGGCGTTTCTGGGCAGTGGGACAGAGCCAGTTATAGAAATGTTACCTGCATGCTGTGAACAATTAACACTGGCTTGTATAAATTATTGCAGATGCTTATTTTGACTGTAGGTAACTTAATGTATTTGATAACTACATTAAACTTTTAATTTTGGGGGGGCTGGAAGGGAGCAGTGAAGTAGGCAGTGTACCACAGTGGTTCCCAGATGTTGTTCCGGCCTGTACAGGTCCGGGTTATGTGGGGACCTGTTGCACCTGCGTCTGGCAGGAGCCCACCCCCGACCTGTGACACGGAAACTGCACGTGGGAGCCAGCAGTGTGTGTTTTAACAAACCCTCCGGTGTTTCTGCTGCACTCTGAAGCTTGAGAAGCACAGGTTAAAAATGCTCATTTATTTTGGTTTCTCAACGAGCATTATATGCTTTTCTAGATTTACCATCTTGATTAATACGGTCTTGGGTCAATGTTAAAAATGAGTGTAAAGCCTAGAATACTCCTATACAGATATTAGGTGAGAACCTATCCAGGTATTTGCCTGCTGATAGGGTTAGATGCTTTTTCTGAGGTGAAGAGAAATTATCCTTGATTTTAATAACCTCGATTTAATAGTTCTTGACCATAATTGTACCTGTCTCACAGAGTGGTTTGAGGATTACTTAAATTAATATATGTTAAGCACTTACAATAATGTCTGGCACAGAGTAAATGCTCAAAAATGTTAGCCAACATTTTTTTTAATATTTTATTTATTTGTTTTTAGAGAGAAAGGGAGAGAGAAAGAGAGGGAGAGAAACATCAACCAGTTGTCTCTTGCATGCCCCGAAACGGAGACCTGGCCTGCAACCCACTCATGTGCCCTAATGGGAATCGAACTGATGACCTTTCAGTTCATAGGCCAGTGCTCAATCCACTGAGCCGCACCAGCCAGGGCTCAAAAATGTTAGCTAATATTTATAAGTATTTTTTAGTTTGTATGTGTTAAATTGGAGCCTTTAATATGTAAATATATGTCACAGAAAACCAATGAAAGTCTTGAAAATAAAGAGCTGACTAGATTTCTCCTTTGATTTAGGCTATGCTACCCATAAAAACAACGAAGTAACAGATTTTGTTGTTGTTGTTTTTCTATTTCAAAAGACAGGGGAAATGATAATTGGTTAATCAGATATGAAAAGCAGAAACGTGCATCAGAAAGTAAGGTAAGGAAATTTAAAAAGAATGTGTATGTATACACACGCACACACATACACACAATTTCTGTGAAAGATTCCTTGAAGTTATTCTTCATTATTTTCTTATTTCCTTCCCTCAAAACCTTGGTTTTTAATCTTCTTTTTCTGTTTTTCTCATCTTTTTTCTTTTTTTCCTTTGTTTACATTACATTTTTTATTTCTGTTTTAAAAAAAAATCACCACACAGTGCTTTATTTTTTATTAGAATAATATTGTATTAGAATAGAAGAATATTACCAGCTTGGTACTTTCTGTAGAGCTTGGGAAATTTTTGTAGAACCACCAGATTTATTTTGCTTTTATGTAATAAAGACTTCCAGTATTTTTGGTCATGTTTATATATTGCTAATTCACTTCTTTCTGAGTCTTATGACTCAGTATTAGGTGATGCAGTATTATAGAACATGTGTCCTTTACCTGTGATTCATATGCATTGAACTTAAAAAAATGTACTTCTGCTGAGAAGAAGCTGGCTTGAATATATATAATGGCCTGCCTAGACCTATATATATCACCATCTGAATGATAGGTTTTAGGTTAATTTTTGTCAGTTTTGGCTACCCAAGTTCAAATTTTAAATATTGACACGAGATAGTTTAGGATAGTTTTACTAGTTCAAAACAGTCTATTCGTTGGAGAAAGTTTTCACTAGTTAAAAAAATAATCTCTCCAGTACTTACAGTCTATGTGTTCTCATCACTTAAAGCATCACTTTAGAAAGTTTGTACTTTTCAGTGTTTACCAGAGAAATTTAAAATTTCATATTCATAGTATTTAGCAATAAAAAATGAATGAACTCAATATAGGCAGTAATGGGGATGAACCTCAAGATCCTGCTAAATGAAAGCAGCCGTGAGAAGTTACACACAAAGGGAATGCACTGTCTGGTCTCAGTTGTATAAAAACCTACAAAGTGCAGACTCACCCCTGTGACAGAAGGCAGACTGGTGGCCTGGGGGAGGGGGCGTAGAGGAAGGGAGGGACTACAAAGAGACACAAGGAACTATTGGGTGAAGACTTCTCATCTACTGGTGCTTATCAAATTGTACACTTTAATATGTGAAGTTTATTGTGTGTGAATTATACCTCAGTAGAGTTGTAAATAGAAAAAAGTGATAGAGATAAAAATAAATGCCACTTATAGCAGAAATGGGTATAAAGTACAGACTTAAATATATATACCTATATATTTATAGTAGTTCCTACATATATTTTATTGGTATATTTTGAGCAATTAGAGTTTACTGAAAACTTCATTATTTTGCTCTTAAGTATTTTGTGCATTTTTACTAAGATATTTGATATATGCCAGGTTTATTTCTTTTAGTTTATATCACACAGACATTTACTCTAATACTTTGAATTTTTTTAAATTTTATTAAATTTATTGGGGTGATATTGGTTAATAAGTTTATGTAGGTTTGGGGTGTACATTTCTTTAATGAATAATCTGTGTATTACATTGTGTGTTCACCACCCAAAGTCAAGTCTCCTTGTATCACTGTATATTCATTCCCCTTTACCCTTTTCTAGCTCCCCACACCTCAGTTTCCCTTTTTCCCTCTGGTAATCACCATGCTGTTGTCTATGTATGTGAGGTGTTATTTGTTTGTTTGTTTTTTGCTTAATCCAGTCACTTTTTTTTACCTAGCCTCTCAACATCCCTCCCCTCTGACAGCTATGATTCTGTTTCTACTTTGCTTGTCAATTTATTTTGTTCATTCGAGTCCACATGTAAGTGAAATCATATGGTACTTGTCTTTCTGTGGCTGGCTTACTTCCCTTAGCATAATGCTCTCCAGGTCCATCCCTACTGTCACACATGGTAAGATTTTATTCTTTTTTTATGGCCAAGTAGTATCCCATCGTGTCAGTATACCACAGCTTTTTTACCCAGTCGTCTACTTTTAATTTAAAAATTACCGATTTTACCTTTTATTATTTTATCTATGCCACTTAATAATGGCAACTGTCTATCGTTAAATAGTAGGAGGTACTCCTTGACATGAAAACCCTCTTGCCCCTGCTGTTTTGTTTCTGCTACAGACAAACGTAACAGTTAGGAATGGCTAGATTCTGTAATCAGGTTTCTTGAGGTTCCTTCTGCACCTCATTAGACTTAGCTTTGGGGAGTTTCATTTATAAACATTTTGTATTTGAAACTAATTGTTTCTATGGGACCCTAAGAAAGACTAGATTTTAATTAGGTAACTTTTTAAGTTGTTGAAAATGTCCATATTTTGCAACTGTCATACATTTAAGAAATGCATCTAGCAATAAATTATCCAAAATAACACTTTAAGTATTAGTAATTCCAAATGCTCTTCCATAAAGCAGAGGGGAAAAAACACTCCTATGTAAATTTATAATATCAAATTTCAAAAAAAATAGTGATTATGAAATTCTTATTTTTAAGATAATCTCTGCCCTTCAACAGTGAATTTGTACTTTCTGGGAACTTATTTTTTATTTTTATAGGCTCTTCAGATAAAATGTCCTTAAACTCCCAAAATTACTGTAAATACTTTATCTGGTAAAAATGTTTGTATACATTTTTTTATCAACAGACTATTTTCTCCTTTTTAGGAAGCAGATTGGACTGATGATAAAGAATCGCTTATTCAAGTAGCTGCAATTGATAACGGTCTAGCATTTCCTTTTAAACATCCTGATGAGTGGAGAACATGTGAGTATTTAAAACATTCCAGAGGTCTGTCATTACCCCTCTCCAGCAGAGGAAGGGAAGAAAATGTATGGTCCTTAAACCAGCAGGAAAAAACCTGGGCGGAGTGTTCGCTGGGACGCTGTCCCAGGCACTGAGCTCCGAGAAAATTAACTATTTACTATTTTGGTAGAGCTTTATTTTAATTTTGGGTAATGTTCACTGACAAAACTCTTTGTCTTAAGCCCCCACCCCCTCTTTAGTGAGTGGTGTTTTAACTGCCTTAGCAGTCTCTGCTGGTTTGGTTTCTGTTTCGACTTATTTCAGTTTTAGACATTTTTTCTTTTTCTTTTTTTTTAAGATTTTATTTATTTACTTTTAGAGACAGGGAAAGGGAGCAAGAAAGAGAGGGGAGAAACATCTATGGGAACATCAAGGGGTTGCCTCTCATACATGCCCCAACCTCGGACTGAACCTACAACCCAGGCAGGCGTGTGCCCTGACCAGGAGTCAAACTGGCGACCTTTGGCTTTGCAGAACACTGTCCAATTGACTGAGCCACACCCGTCAGGGCTAGACATTTTTATTTTGCTTAAAATTGTCCATATCTTCTGTTATAGATTTGTGGGTATAAAGTTTTTTTATAGAATCCTCTTATAAGAAAGAAAATTTCCTCTTCGTATATTAAGTATTTGGGGATGAAACAAAATGTCTGGAATTTACCTCAAAACACTTGGAGAAAGAACAGGGATAGATGAAATCAACTTTGTAAAAGTTTGGGGGTAACTGAATTGAGTTCTTCAGAATATGGGAGCTCCTGTTGCCAGCATTTTGATTTTTGTATATGTTTTTAAGTATCAGTATCAGTACTGTATCAGTACTGTGCTTCTTTTAAATTCCCACTCTTCATTAGTAGCCTTTTTTCCTTCATTGGAGTTGCCAAAGATTTATTATAAAACATTGGCCCCTTCATGTCGTGTGTGTGTGTGTGTGTGTGTGTGAGCTAATTGACCTTTTATTGATCAGATTTTCAGTTTATTTAGTTGCTTTTATTTTTCATTGATCTACATTTTCCATCATTATTTTCTTCTATATTCATCATATATTACCTTCCTATATGTTTTTCTCTAGGTGTCATTTTGACTAAGCCATAGATTGGGCATGCTTCTCTATTGTTCTGCTTTATAGATTCATACTTTCAGATTTGTGTTTGACAGGAGTAATTGAGAAGTGTTTTGTTTGATTATAAAATTTCTAGGTCAGTTGATTTTTTTTACCTGCCCATTGTTATTTCCAAGTTTTATTGCTTTGTGGTCTGTGAATGTGACTATAATAGGATGTATGGCCAGTTTGAAGGACTGTATTTAAAAAGAATGTTTGGGCACAAAGTTCTGTATCTGTCTACTAACTAAAGCTTGTTAGTTGTTAGTCAAATCATATTCTTGATTTATTTTTTGACCATTTAATCTATTAATTTTTGAAAGTTAAAGTTTACTGTGATTACGATTTTGTCAATTTCTGCATTTTTATACACTTTCTGCTTTATATTTCACATTCCTGAAGGCCCAGCGTATTTTACCTTGCTGGCGGCGTGTTCTTCCATCACTGTGAAACACGTCCCCCTTTATCACTACCAGTGTTTTTCTTTTTTCCTTTTGTCGTCTGTTGTAACTTGGTATACCTCATTTCTTTTTATTAGCATTTGCCTGGTATTATTTTATACTTTTATTTCTAACCTCCATCATTTTGTTTTAAGTATACGACTTATAAACATTACTTAGCTGGATATTTTAACCTAGCCTGAGGTCCTTTTAATGGGGACGCTTAACTCTAGTTTGTCTTAATAAGCAACCGATATGTGTGAACTTTTACTGCCATTGTATTTATTTCTATTTACCATAAGTTCTGATGATTTCTTGTTTCCCTTTTCTGTCTTTATTGAAGTGACCTGAGATGTTTTTGTTCCATTTTGTTTTCCTTGAATGATGTAGAGTCTTTGTATAAATTGGACTTTAAAAGTGCTAAGTTTAAGGTGCCTGTATACATCTGGGAAATTTCACCAAACACACAGGTGGCGATTGAAGGCCTTAAAGGAGGAAATGGTATTGAAAATATACCATATTTTGTTGTGTGTACTGTGCCTCCATGATTTTGGCCCAAACTTTCAGGAAAAAAGCTTTTGCTTTAATTTTTTAATTCAATTTTTTATTTATTAATGTTTTAAAAAAATGGATTATTGTATTCCGTTTTTTTATTATTTTGCGTACAGATATCATTATTGTTCTCTAGAGTTACACTTTTAACACATAAGCATAAATTAGAAAATTAAAAACATTTATATAGATACGGAATTAGTACTACCCATATATAATGGGCATCCTTATTTTTCCCTAAAAAAATTTGGGCAAAAAAGTGCACATTATACACAGCAAAATTTGGTAGTTTTCAAACTGCCATCTTGGTAGTGGGAGCCATGGTGTTCACGCTCATCCAGGGAAATGACGGGTTGGTGAACACATATCATCACTAGGGGACAGATGGTTCAAAGCACGTAAGTGCTGAGTGTTTTATGAGTGTTTGGTCGACGAATGAGAGAAAAGAGTAAAAAGAAGCTGGGGGAGTGGTAACATCAAAGAAGAGAAGAAAAGGCAGCACACCAGAGAGGTAGCTTGAAAGACAGAAGGTAGACTCTGAGAGTGGCATATGCAGAGCTGCCCAGGAGAGCACATCACAGAAGGTGGTGGCAGGAGAGGGCACTCCTGTGCGGGGGCATCACGTAGATGTGGGCTGCAGACGGGCCTTTGCAGAGGCTCTGGTGCGCTGACTGGTGGTCTCGGGGGCAGAGTGGTTGCAGAGTTGAGGAGTAGGAATTGGAAGCATAGGCAGGCATTAGAATAAACACTTTTCTTTTATGTAATTGGCCAGGAAAAGGTGAAAAGGAAATTGGATACAACGTCAGGGAGATGTGGGCCTGCAGGAAAGCCTTCTTTGGAATGGAGTCTGAAGGCAGACTTCTTCCCCAGGGATTTCCAAGTGGTGGCAGCCAACAAAGCTAGAGGCTCTCATTCAGTGTACCCACAGTAGTTCTGTGGGTGATCGCATTGTCATAAGCTGTGTACTTTTGTGCAGGAAGCTGAACATGTGCTTTCTCTAGAAGATTCCACTTATTTACAAATCTTTCTAGTCCTGGACCTGTGTAGATAACGGTCCGCTTGGGGGACCTACAGTTAGCCTGGAATGATGGGTCTTATCCTCTAAAGCCACTCCCCTGTTTACCTACTAATGATTTAGAATTGTAGAATATGGGGGCCGGGGAGCGTGATGATCCAGTTCCTAATGATTTGTGGGCTAGAAGTGCACGGAGACCTCTGCCAAGGTGTTTCCATCTGGGGCTGCGAACAAATTGCAGCTATCTCTTAATTTCCAAATTTAGGAACCAGAGGTTCAGATACACATGTTTATATAGGGCTATTTGAAATATACACAGTATCAAAACTGTTTATTCTTTTTTTAAAAGATTTTATTTATTTAGAGAGAGTGGAGGGGAAGGAGAAAGGGAGAGAAACATCAATGTGTGGTTACCCCTCATATATCCCCAACTGGGGACCAGGCCTGCAACCCAGGCATGTGCCCTCCCCAGGAATCAAACCAGTGACCCTTTGGTTTGCAAGCCATGCTCAGTCCACTAAGCTATACCAGCCAGGACAAAACTCTTTATCCTTTAAAACTCAGAAACCTAGCTACTTCAGGTCATAACTTTTTGTGTTGTGCCATCTGAATTAACATAATAAACATGGGATCTGAATAATTTAGGTAACACAAGATAATTGTTGTCTCGTAACTTTTCTCCTTTTTCTAAGAACCTGGGACTTGTGGGGAAAGGACGAGGATGAATGTGGGTCAGAATAAACCCTTGCCCCCACTGATCAGAGTGCTTTTTCCTGTTAGATCCATTTCACTGGGCTTGGCTTCCCCAAGCAAAAGTTCCCTTTTCTGAAGAAACAAGAAACTTGATTCTACCATATATTTCTGACATGAACTTTGTGCAAGATTTATGTGAAGATCTTTATGAACTTTTTAAGGTAAGTAAATTTTCAGTTTTAATTATTACAGAAAATGAAATCTGAAAATGCAAGAGGCTTCTCCCTGCAGAGCTAATTTGCACTTGACTGTGGGTGCCACTTGCTGTAGTAGAACTGGACAGAGCAGGCGGGAGTTAGGAGCACACGTCTGTGGGGCTGTATCCCTGGGAGCATCGTCTGTAGTGAGACCTAACACTTGACAGGCTGTTTTCTTCAAAGCTGAATGTTTACAAAATGACCCTAAAAATTACAACAAATGTTTAGTGACCAGGTATAATTCTCTCAAAACTCCTAAATTCATTGGCTGGAGTGTCATTTTAAATCCTTTCCGGAACAGATGGGAGTATAAATAAACTATTCTTACTCTAGGGATGTACAAAAATACTTCAGGTAAAAAATACCCTTTCGTATGTTATTTTATCAATTAGGAAAGCTTACCAATGATCTTATGTGCTAAGTTGAAAGAGTTCATTTTATTTTCAAATATTTGTTTCAGTGATCCTGATATTTTGAACTATAATGATGTTTTTCTTTTCCTTTTTGTGATAGATTGACAGAAGATTTAACAAAGCTACTTTTGAAAGTCAGATGTCTGTGATGAGGGGTCAGGTAGGTCCACCTTTTCGTGTTCTTGTGAAAAAAAAAAAAAACCTCTCTTTGGAATAGTAATCAGCTTTTTTTCTCTATTGTGACCCAAAGCTGCAACCCTGGGCACTTTTTATAAGTGAGCCGAAATAGCTCCAATGATTAAAGTGAAGTTGATTTTCATAGTATTGTCTCGTAAGTTAGATATCCTTGACTTGGTTGCATTTTGTTGAGTTACCCAGTGAATTCTTTGTCCTCATTTTGGTAACTATTTTCCTGGTTGCTACTGTATTTTCCTCCTCAGATTCACTCGCTTAGATGTACTGTAGCCTGTTGATTACTTGCCTCCTAGAACATGTCTGGCGCTCACGAGAGCAGTCTGTCAGTAACGTCACCAAAGGCTGAGCACTGACCGGGACCTGAAAGTGCCCATTGTAACTCAGTCCTCTCACCCTTCTCACCTCTAAGGAGAAACAGGAGGTGTTAGGTCTGCAGGTCTGCGGGTGTGGACCTGCGGGCTGGGCTGACCTTCGGACCACCTCTGTTTCTTCCACTCCATTAATGGTATTCAGATCCCTGCCCAAAAAAGGGCTTGAAATGAAAATAAAGTAGACTATAAACATTGTCTTTTAGCACCTTACTAATTAACTTTTTAATATAGGGTAGCTGTTTGCTGTATTCCCATGGCAAAAAGACGAGTTTAGGTTTTGCACTCATATAATTTATAGTAAATAAATATAACTAAATTAGGTAGTTATTTATTCACCAAATATTTATTGTCAGAACTAGTGCCAGAAACTGTTCTAGTCACTGAGATAAAGCGGTAAGCAAAGCCCAGCTCCGTTGCTCAGGGAGCTCAGGGAAAGGGGTGGGTATTAGCTTGCACATCCCTGTGCTCTGTTGTTTCCATGCGTGCTGTGCTGGAGTCCCGAGTTTTAAACAGTAAGGGGAGTGCCTGGGCAGTGTCACAGGTCCAGGGCCTGAAGGGCCTGAAGGGCCAGAAGGTCAATTCCACACAGAAGGGATGGGAACCGTTAGAGACTTTAACATTAAAAGGGGTTTTGGTGAGACTGACATCTTCAGAGCGGAGACCTCATCCTGGGTTTCTTCTGAACTCCCTGAAATTGTGTGCTAAATTACATCTGTAAGTGTGATCTGGGCATGGGGGGAAGCTATTGGATTTCTGTCTCAGCAAAAGGCATCCTCGTCCTAACAAAGTTTCAGAGCCCCTGTAGGAGGTTAGTCTGGACAGTGGGTGCAGGTGCACTCAGGGGACAGGAGTGTAGCGCCAGGGAGCCTCCTGGGGTGTGTTTTCAGCAATTCGGGCACGAGTGAAGGGTCTAGGTGATCAGTGATGGTAATTGTGTTGCAGAGTGTTACCATCCCTACTATATTTGAGGTGAATTTTCAAGCATTGATGATTATGCCCTCATTTGACCTTTTTGCTTGAAACAAATTAACTTATAAATATGCTCCCATCTTCTGGAGTTGTCATAACCCTAAATCTTTATCTTAGGAATAATTTTTTAAAATAAAAGCTGTAAATAATTTTATAAACTGTAATTGTTGATTAAAGCTAGTACATGAGGAATTTAAATTTAAAAATGCTTACTGAAAAGATACAGAGATATTCCAGTACTGAGGTCTGTTACAAAGTTACACCAGTATCTCTGCAATTCTAGCTTTGTTTATTCATATCCGGTCTCATTCACAAAGGAGTTAAAGCATTATGCAGATGTGTATAATAAAATAAGAAAATTACAAGATCAAGATCTAGGGGAAAAAATAAAACTATACCTTCTTTATATGTTTTAATTTAATTTTTATCATTTTTTTAAAAGTTGGTTTTGACCTCTCTGATAGCCAGAAAGAGCAGAGTACCCCGACCATGGACATGACTATGCAGTTCTCTAGTTTTAGCTGCATTTTTAAAAATCCACTGTGAAAAATCAGGTAGTATTTTATATTCTAAAGTAGATGAGTGCTTGTGAAACAGGATTAACAAACAAAAACAAATAACAGTAAACAGTGTTCCAAACAACAGAATCATCATTTAGCTAGTTCCTTAAATGAGCCAAAATTCTTGTTATTTCCATCATTTATAATTATCCCATAGATTCCTCTTTTCTTCAGGTTTACCAATTCATTTCATGATTTGTGCTTTATACAACCAACTCCTGTGCCCCACGTTACAGTGAGTCTTTAGCGTTACGCACGTAATCAGTGACGTGCTCTGATTTGTCACACAAAGATACGGAACGGAACTCGGAACTACTATGAAGGCATTCCTCTTAAAATCTGGGATATGATGTTTATGACAGTTAGAGATAAACCATGTTTGAATTTCACATTAAAGAGCAGTAGGTCAAGATGAGGTTTAATAAAATCATTCGTTTTCCTCTCTCCCTGTGCCAGTTTGGAACACTGGACCTCAGAAAATAGTCATGGGCAACGTGAAATACATTGTATAATGATCTGAAAGAAGTGGCAGAAATAATAAGTAAAACTGCTTTATGAATGTATAGCGAACTTGTATTCAGTGATTTGTAAGCCACACCCTCACTTGCAGATTCAGTAATAATCAATTTTAAGGAAAATGAACTTAACGTTTTAGTACCTCCTGAGTACTCGGCTCTACTAGGTATGTTTATGTTTGTTATCCTCATAACGGCTCCCGCAGTTAGTTGCTTTTTACGCGGAGGAAGCTTGGTCAGAAGGGCTGAGTGACATCTGAAATAAGAGGTCCGTCTCAGCCTGGCACACCCGCTGCCTGAGGCACCATCGCTGCTTCTCGGGAGCTGGAGGTCTCCTAGGTGTGTCCTTCCCTCTTCCCTGCCTCTGGTCCACACCTGACCGGAACAGTTTCTCCCAAAGCATATCCAATCTACCGTTTGCGGTGTAGGACTTCTGTGATTCTTCAGTGTGTCTGGGCTCAAGCCCCGGCTTTGGCACCGGCAGCAAGACCCCTCACAGTCTGCCTCCAGTCAGTCATTCAAGGCTTCCCAGAGCCTGAGGCTCTTCAGGGCTCACCTTCACCTTCCCATTGTCACTTCCCCAGGCTGCACCCCCGCCCGTGGCTGTGCCACTGTCTCTCTCCGGTGCCTCTTCCTAGGCTCCACCTGCTACCCAGGGAGTTCTGGGAATCCACTGCTGTCACCTTTTACCCAGAAATGTGGTGCACAAACAAGCCTTTTGGGCATATGCCTTTTAAAAAATACCTTAAGCCCTGGCTGGGTGGCCCAGTTGTTGGGAGCGTTGTCCTCTACACAGAAAAGTCGCCGGTCAGATCCTGGTCAGGGCACACACCTAAGTTACGGGTTTGAGCCCTGGTCGGGGGCATATGGGAGGCAGCTGACCGATGTTTCTCCCTCTCTCCTCGCAACCCCCCCCCCTTCTTCTCTAAGATCAATAAACATACTTGGGTGAGGATTGTAGCTTAAAACCAACCATAAAGCACAATATATGTGTCCTTATAGAGATAATACGGTAGTTCTTATGCCCACTAAACTTGGAGGACTTGTGAATTAACTCATCTGCCCTCCTCATAACTGTCATATCCCTACCAAGTTATCAAGTGTGGCCTGGGTGGCAAAGTCGGAAGTGTTTCTCCTTGCCTGCGTTGTTTAGTCTATTTCGGAAAATAGTCTTCTCTGATTTAAACATATAGCACCTGAGTGCTTTAGGTTGGCTGTAACTCTGCTGGGCTCTTCTCAGTTCTCCTGGGGGAAATACATCTAACGATAGACTTGCTCATTCTTTGAGAAAGGAAAGAATGGTGATACGTAGGGAACGGGAACAGATTTTCAAAGTGAGGGCATACGTCAGCTGTTGTTCAAGTCTTTGTCACGTGACATTGCCATTGTTTGCTCATCCGGCTGTTGTTTCTAGAATGTGGGTATTTTTAGGGCTCACGTGGTTCTTTTTATGGGGAGGAGTCTTCTCCTCACCAGCACAGTGCTTGCTTAGTAAATATTTCTTTGGCAAATAAATGCGACATTATCAAGTGTTTTCTCAACTACATTTAGGGTAGTTTTAGGATAGAATACTTTTTACTATTAGTTAGTATATATTTGAAAAGTGTTCATCTTGTAGAATGACTTTTTCTTTGTACCATTCTGTTTTCCAGAATCTCAACAATAATTACGTATTGTTTTTAGAGTCAGGAGAACATTAGATGTTATTTAAATTAGTGTGCTTAGACTAACATTTTTAGAACAGAATTTTTACAACAAGCAGAGGGAACTAACCAGAACATTTCGTTCTTTAACCACGCTGGTGCTCACGTTTTATTTTCATGGTAAAGACAGTGTTTATAAGTGTAAATTTCATAAATTCTCTTTGTCTTGTTACTCAAACATGCCACAGTAGAAGCTTTTAAGGGAAGGACTTAAGAGGGACACTAAAACGAATGCAGTGAGTAACTACGGTTGCTAGAGATAATTCCCTGATGTGTTACATACTTTCAGTCTCCTAAGATCTGGCCGTGGCTGGTGTGATTCGGTGGGTTGGACGTCATCCTGAAAACAGCCAGGCCGCCAGTTCGATTCCCGGCCAGGGCGCATGCCAGGGCTACGGGCCAGGTCCTCTGTTGGGTGCATGTGAGACGCAACCAGTTGACATATCTCTTGCGCATCAGTGTTTCTCTCCCGCTATTTCTTCCTCCCTTCCCTCTAAAGATAAATAAAATCTTCTAAGATCTAAACCATCTCATTTATACTATTTAAACGTATTATGAAGTGTACTTATTAGTATGGCTTTGTGTTATAACCTTTCTTCTTATCAGTATTAAATAGTCTTTAATGAACCAGTAAAGTGCACACCATCTGCTTACTATATATTTCCACATACTTAAGGAGACCTTCTTATTACTAAATACATAACAAAGGGAACTGTTTTGCTTGATATTCAGGGAAAAAGGAAAATGAATTGTTAAAAGTTTATCTGAACAGAAAAGGCTGTAAGCTATGTATTGAGTTTCATAAGCTTATTTTTATGCTCAAGTAGCATTTCCAAGAATATGTAAACATGGAATGTAGTATATTTTACTTTTCCTACTTTATGTTTCCTATTTAAGAGTTACCTCTTAGATGGATGGAATTGGGGAGCATTATGCTAAGTGAAATAAACCAGGCAGTGAAAGACAGATATCATGTGATCTCACCTATAAGTGGAACCTGATCAACAAAACAAATGAGCAAAACAGAACCAGAGGCATTGAAATGAAGAACAAACGGACAGTGACCAGAGGGGAGGGGGGAGGGGAGGGGGGAGGGGAGGAGGGGAGAGGTCATCAAGGAACATGTCTAAAGGACCCATGGACAAACCAAAGGGGGGTAGGATTAAGGATGGGAGGTGGGGATCAGTGGGGCGAGGGAGAGCAGTGGGGGCAGGGGAAATGGAGACAGCTGTACTTGAACAACAGTTAAAAAAAAAAAGAGTTATCTTTTAAAACTTTATTTTCAATGGCTGCCTTCCCAAAGTCTGTAACCCATTTGCTGCTGGCCTTGCATCATGCTTGTTCACAGCACTTCGACCTTCCAGCAGGGGTGTCCAACCTGCGGCCCACGATGGCTGTGAGGGCGGCCCAACATAAAATCGTAAATTTACTAAAAACATTACGAGATTTTTGTGTGTGTGATTACGTGTTGCAATGTATTTAGTGTGTGGCCCAGAGGCGCCACAAGGTTGGACACCCCTGGTACACGGCATAACTTATTTACTGGTTCGTGATGTTTGCTGACTCCTCCCCCTGCTACAGTGTACGCCCCAGGAGGCGGAGGCTTGGTCTGTTTCTCCAGTGTCGTGACCCTAGCACGAGAATGGAGCCTAGCATGTGTTTGCTTTCCGTAAACGTATCTACTGAATGAGTGTGTGGTTGCAACCGGGCTCTTGAGACCAGCACTGATTTAGGCTCTGTGTCGGATAGAATGTGTGGAAGCACTCGCTTTTGTCAGCCTCCGATTTCTCTTCTTTTGGACGTAGGTGCATTCCGGAGTATTTTAAAGGCACCAGCTGGCAAAAGTTACTCGGTTCTAACTTCGTGCACTTGTGTGTGTATATGTCGTGTGTATAAACATACACACGGACATACAACGTATAGTTACAGCAGTTACTCCTGATTACAATCTGTTGGGCATACACAGATGAAATATAAACCGTAACTATGAATAAATGGTTAAACTGAGTGTCAGTGAACTGAGGGGCTTTTATCTGTTTTGAATTGGTGAAAATGTTTCTTCTCTCCACAGATCTTAAATCTTACCCAGGCTTTGAGGGACGGGAAGAGTCCGGTCCAGCTGGTACAGATGCCTTGTGTGATCGTGGAGCAGAGCCAAGGGCGGGCCCAGGGCCGGATCGTCCAGCTCAGCAGCTCCTTCACGCAGACGTTCCACTGCAGGAAGCCCTTCTTTTCCTCCTGGTAGCAGGTGGCCGAGACGCCTGCGTTCTCGTGCGGCTGAAATGGGAAGTGTGTTGAGATTGTATTGCAGTGATGCAGATCTGCTGTTAAGCGCTCGGGTTGCCAGAACCTCCAATAATAATGTGTTTTAAAGGTTATGTTTTGAATGTTCTCAGAAGTTTACAGTTTTTTGTCCAAATATTAACTTTTTATTTCAGGGAAGAACTGAGATATCTCCTATATAGTATTTTTGTAGAAAAATGTACTTTATGTTGATGATGTTAGTTGCAAAGGTAATTTCATGGTTTACACTTTCTGAAATGACTGTAATTATTTTAGAATTTCAAATAGGAAAATAAGGTATTTGTTGACCTTGAATAAAATAACTTTTTATATACTTTTTAAACATTGAGAAGAATGTTTATGTTAATTCTTCTTAGAATATCAAAGCCTTTGAATATGAAACTACCCTTATGAGCTTAATAGATTAGTTAATAGAAAAACAGGTAAGAACAAAGCAATGCTGCCTTAATTTAAAAAGCTGCTATTTTAGAGCTTGAATATGTCCCTAAAGTGACAGTTGTGAGGGACCAGAAAAGTATATCTTAGTTAAGTAATAGATGACCTTTATTTTTTTTTGTACTTCAGAATATTTTTGGTCAATTATTTTGTTATAATGAGGAAAAAATCTAAAGATGACCCTTTTTTTAAAAATAAAAACACTCAACTGAGACTTGAGAATTATATAAAATTAAGGTAGATCCTTAATGTTTTTGAAATTCCAGGATAACATTAAAAATTCCCTTTCGTTCCTTGCATGGAATCAATTACATAATCACTACTCCAGATTACTAATCTTGTTCAGTTCAGTACTTCAGTTAGTATTAAACTTCACTGAAAAGTAAACCGTCCTCACAGTACGTATTAGATTGTATTTGGGGTCCTAGGATATAAACTTTTAAAAATAACAGTACTGTTTTCAGGTACTTGAAATTCCCAGAGTTATAATTACAGTCAAATTTAGAACATCAGCCCTGATTACAGTGAACCATGACAGAGATAACCATCAAATCATGTATGCTTGAATTTGAACGTCAGTATGTCTGACATTCTGGGAATATGTAGCACTTTTAATTCGCTGAGTGATTTAAAACATGATGCACCCAGTGTGAAGAGGTGATTCCAAAGAAGCAGAAGTTTCCTTCTCGTCTCCAGGCTCCAAACAAGTAACACCACCACTCGGAATGAACAGGGCAGTTTATGGTTTTGGCCTTTTGCTTTTGAAGCTTTCTGTCTTGTGATTTTTTTTTCTTCATTAAGTACTTTTGCATCAAAAGTACTTCCCGAAGGTCAGGTTAGGGGGGAAGACAGGTCTGCAGTTCCCCCTCCCTTCCCTCCTTCCTCTCGACCTCCGACCTCCGTGGCTGGGACGCATGAGAACGCAGCTGTCCTGGCAGGAGCGTCCCCCTGCCTCCCCGACCCTCCGTCGCCCCACTGCTGACAGGACGGAAGACTGCAAGTGTGGGGCTCAGGCTGCTGTCGTTAGGTGAATGCTGGTCACTGGAACATGCCTTTGAAGGCGTGTTCTAGAAGAACTAGACGGTTGTGGTGTGGGTAACGGCTTTCTAAAACAGCTCTTTTTTTTTCCAGTATTTTGAGAATTACTGTATTAATTTTTATAATGAAAATCTTAGTAAGTTACTACTGTGTTATATCCTAAACATTAAAATAGTGTGGAAATATGTTTTAATGGTCTGACCAGGCCAAAAAGCTAAGTTGAAATATTTAAGATGTGATTATAAGTCAGAGTATGTTGGTTATATTTTGTGCATTTTCATGAACTTAATTCTTATTTAAGTATTGTGCTAATTTTTTTCCGTGAATGTATTTATAGTGTCAAATGGTAGACGAAAAGGAGTAGAAATTGTTGTCTGAAGGCTAGATTTCTCCTGAAGTGTGTCTGTTGAATATTTAGGTTTGTAAACATGTTTCTGTTTTAAATGATGCCAAACCATTTTCTTACTTCCTATCTCAGTAGTACAGTTTAGTTCTGTGTAATTCCACAAGATACATTTAACTAGAACCTTTATAACTGGAGACATTTTAATTTTATTTAATTATATGCTGCCTTGTTCTCCCCCAAATTTGTCAGCAGTTGAAGACTGGAAACATGATGTTTTGTCATTGAAAACAATTTGATTCACAATTTTCGATAAATTTAAAATACTTTACTACTGGAATTAAAATTTTATTTTACAATGATGGTAACATGTTCTTCCATCAGATGACACCCTTGAGTCCTCCAGCAGTCAGTACATGAAGAGACAGGTGGCATCTGACGTCGTACGGTCCACCGTCTTTGCCAGAGCGGCCTGGGCACCTGTACAGAGACGTGGCAGAGACTCTCAGTTCGCTGTGTGTTTGCAAGCCTGCTTTCCAGTTACTTCGGGGCCTGCGACTGGGTTCTGGCCAGTGAGATGGGGGGGAAGACCTGGCAGTAAAAGTCGCTGCCACCACAGTCCGTGGTCATGACTGAACACTCGCCTGCCTTCCTGCTTCCTGCTGTCAGCAAGCAGGCTGCCAGCGGAGGCACCCGGGGCCTGGGGCTCGCGGTCTGGCAAGGGGATCCTGCCGACTTCACGAGACCACGAAGTGAACTAGAAATAGACGTGTTTAGTCATGAAGAGTTGGGATTTTTTCGTTACTAACTCTGTCCTGTCTTGGGCATTGTAATGCAAATAGAAAAAATACAAATCATTTTAAAGTAAAAAATTAATCATGGGAGGTAGGATGGCAGCCACAGTGGGTAGTGTTTTCATCCCCCAAGGCCCTCGGAGCTATCCTATGGCAAAAGGGAGAAAAGAAACACGGTGACACCCCTTCACTGAAATTAGACGATAGACTCTCCCTGGGAATCCCAGAGTCTGAGCAGTGTGAACTAGAGCCACCAGTAGCAACACGATCACATGGGAACAACAGCTCAGGGGAGCAAGCAGACAGAAGGGAGATGTGAGGTCCCTAAGAGCCCAAGAACCCAGACTTGGCCGACACGTGCTCAGCCCCAAAGGAGGGGCCCACAGTAGTGGCGGCAACCTCAGCCAGTGGGTCCAAAAAGCACAGTTGGGAGCGGGCTGTCCAGGAATGAATTCTCAGCTAGTGAAAGGAGCCTGCCGAAAGGGAGGGTGCTAGGGCAACCTGGGTTCCCAGAAGCAGCCAGTGAGAGCCCAAAGCCCCACGCCGGGCGAAAGTGCTGGGAACAGAACACACGTTGACAAGGGAAGGACGCCGGGGTGAAGGAGAGAAGGTTCAGGCACTGAGTAGGGCAGAGGTCCGGTGAGATAGACGGAAGTCAGAAGTACCAGAGGCACACAGGACACAGTGGTATTTAGCACCATTTAGTAACAGTGGGAGAGAGAACCCTAGGGCCACGAAATGGGAAACTGTCCTGGCTCCCCTTACCCACCTCCCACACAGGAATCTTCGAAAAATATAAGAGGAAAAATATTAGAAAAACCCACGTCACATAAACATGACCACATCTAACAACATACTCTTTAAAAAACTGAGATGACCAATCTGTCTAACACACCCACAGAAAAGGAAGATATCCCAGAAGCATTTACAGAGCAGAAGAAAATATTTTTTACATGCTGGAGGAATTTAAGAAATGATAGGACCCTAAGAACAACACGGCATCAAAATAGGGAAAGTTCAGAAATGAGATGGGCAAGCAGTGGTCGGGGGAGGGTGCAGATAAAAGGAGAGCTCACAGACAGCTCAGAGGATGTTCCAGAAGTAAAGAAGTAACCCAAGTGCAAATAGCACATTCCCCACCCCACCCCACCCCCACCCCCGGACACATCGTAGTGTGGGAAAGTCCAAAGCTTTCTGCATTGGTTTCCTACTGCTGCTGTAGTAAATTACCACAGACTTGAGGGGCTCAAACAGTCCGGATTAACGAACAGTTCTGCAGGTCAGAAGTCTGACGCAGGTCTCACTTGGCCACAGTTCTGCAGGTCAGAAGTCTGACGCAGGTCTCACTTGGCCAAACCCAGGGTGTCGTCCGTGGGGCTGCGTTCCTTTCTGGAGTCTCAGGGGAGAAGCTCCCTTGCCCTTCCCAGTTTCTAGGGGCCTCCCTCGTGCGTTCTGGGGCTTGGGGCCCGCTCCCTCTGTCTTCAGAGCCAGCTACAGCAGGTTCGGTTTAATCCTGTTCTCAGCAAATCACTCTGGTACCAACTTCTGCCTCTCATTTTCACTTTTTTAAAAAGTTGTTTATTTTTCAAGTACAGTTGACCTATAATATTATATTAGTTTCAGGTACACAACGCAGTGATTAGACATTCATGACTTAGGAGGTGACCACCCCGATAAACCCATTGCCCACCTAACACCATCCATAGTTATTAACAATATTACTGACTGTATTCCCTGTGCTGTACTTTACATCCCTGTGACTATTCTGTGACTACCCATTTGCACTTCTGAATCCCGTCCCCTTTTTCCTCTTCCACTTTCAGGGGCCCCAGGGGTTACCTTGGGCCCACCCAGGGGATCTAGGATAACCTTCCTGTATTAAGGCCTTGCTGGTCTGCAACTTTTAGTTCCATCTGCAACTTTAAGTCCCCTCTGCCAGGTAACATACCCATAAATTCTAGCGAATGGAACATGGACATCCTTGGGAGCCATTCTTCTGCTTTCCACACGCTCCCTCTGAGACCAGCTGCCCGCCGAGGATGGCTGGTCTCATGGGTCTTACTCAGTATCGCGCTGGAGGGCCTGGCCAGAGCGTTAGTGGGGAGGAGGTAAGGGCACGCCAGTCAGGAGCTAAGAAAGAAAACTGTCATTATCTACAGATGACAATTACCACGTAGAAGATTCAAAAGAATCTACCAATAACACTTAGAATTAGTAGGTGAATTTTGTAAGGTTTCTTTTGTACCAACATTAGTTAGAAAATTTAAAAAGGTACCATTTATAGCAGCAGCAAAACATCAGATTCCCAGGAACGAGCCCAACCAAACAAAGACTTGCAAGCTCGCTACACCGAACTGCACAAGCATTGAGAACACTCTGCAGCAAATAGGACAGGATGCCCACGTTTGTTACAATCCGAGTGGCAAGTGAGTGAATGTGTTTTTACCTTGTCTGTTATTTCCTGTTGTTTCAATTAATTAAAAGAAGAAGTCTTTATATGCGAGCACGTTCATAGAATATTTGCTTTGCCACCTTCATTAGTTTGCTAGGGCTGCCATAACAAAACCTCACAGACCGAGAGGCTTAAACAGCAGAAATTTGGTCTCTCACAGTCTGGAGGCTGCAAGTCCAAGGTCAAAGTGCCAGCAGTGTTGGTTTGACCTGCCCCCTCGGGCCAGAAACCCTGCTCCTCGTTGCGTCCCCACCTGGCCTTTTCTCGGTGCACTCACATCCCTGGGGTCTCTGCCTCTATGGACACCAGCCCCATAGGATTAGGACCCACCCACCTGACCTCATTTAACCTTAACTACCTTTTCAAAGAGCCTTTCTCCAAATACAGTCACCTCGGGAGTGAGGCCTTCAACGTGAATTTTGGGGAGAATACATGTTGGTCCCTAACACCACTCAAAAGTGGACACCTTAAGTGCTTCCATGTACGTTAGTCTGTCTGATGCGGCCAAGGTCAGCCTCTGCCTGAGCCATCACTGTGGTCCCAGCCACCTTCTGAGCCACGTCCCTAGCGGAGGACTGAGATCACAGGGACAACCACCTCTAAATATTCTCTGAAGTGAGGTCTGCGAGTTCTTCTCCTTCATGTAGGGGACCTTTTCGACCTGGATTTGTAATAATTGTTTTGACTGTGGAGGTAATTGCCTTGCTCACTGCTGGGCTCTCGGTTCTGTTCTACATCCTCGTGAACCAACCTCTCACTTCTCAGTCACGGCAGATGCATGAATTTTGCTTTAGCCGTGTTTCATTTCCTCTAATAAAATCCCCGCTCCTGAATGGGGAACACTTGGCATGGAAGATATAAATCACTCACTGGATTCTAGACATTTACGAGGTACTTACTCACTGTATGCCTGATTCCCCAAAAGGTAGTAGGAATACAAACATCAATAAGATACAGTTTCAACTCTTGGATTTACTCTTTAAATGCTGCTCAAAGGGACAGGGAAAACCTGACAATGGTCATAGATCTAAAATCAAATGTTTTCTAAGGAATAATGTCCTGCGTGATCTTTGACTATGTGTCCTGCACTGGCACATTTCTACCCCTGCCTCTTCGATTGTAAATTCCTTGCATACGAGGGAGGAATGGTAAGTGCTTTGTAAACTAAATGCTCGACTGCCTTTGACTTGAACTCGCAACATTTTTCATGTTTATCTCAGACATGTATTTCCAATGTCTAGACTTCTCTTGGACTGTGGGTGGCATGATGCGTTCACCCTCTTGGCCCATGGATCGGAAAGCTTTAGTACATAACAAAAATGCACTTTTTAAAGCAAACTGCATTGTTAATCAGCATCCTTTTGTTCAGTAAGTTCTAGCCTGCTTCACAACCCATGGAAGGAGTTCTGTGAGAAAAAGAAGTCCTTACATCTTTAAAGTTTTTGTTCTACTACCAAGTGATGCAATAGACTTAACTGTTGTCACTTCCAAATACAGTCAAGTTACGTATGCTCCCACGTTGCTATCTTCACCAAGTGGAAGGCATGCCACCATTCTCTTTTGACTAAGAGTTTGGGGTTGGAACAGACCTGCCTTTAAGTCCTGGTTCTGGGTTCTGCCCTTGCTAGCTCCGTGTCCTTGCTCAGGTCTTGCCATCTCCCAGGCCAGCTACACAGGTAAAGTACATGAGCTAATGGTGAGTTCAGAGATTTGTAACAAGGATGCAATAAGGTATATTTTGTGAAGAGTGCAGCACAAATTCTGTTAGTCGCAGACTCTGTTCCCGTGTCTGTGTGCGTTAACGGTGCGTTGGGGTTTTTGGTTTTAGACAACGGAGTCAGGCACACGCCTGCGATTCTGGGTTCAGGTCATCGCATCAAGGCGGCCTGTGTGCATGCCAACTTCTCAATTTCATGTCGTCTTTCCCGGAGTGTGGTGACAGATTTGGAATCAAAAGGCTATTTTAAAGCGTTCTCTGTGTGACACAGGTTGATGTGGGGTTGAGAGGAAAAGGCACCCGAGGGTCACCAGGTAATAACAATAAGAGATTTATCCAAACCTGACTCCCGGAGAAACGGAGTGACATTTCAAAAGGTTTTTTGTTCAGAATCCCGACGCCTGGGTCCTGCCCACGAAATGCTAACCTGGCAGCCAGTGACTGTGCCTCTGCATGTCGCCTGGTGGGTTTTTTTAGACCTGGAAATTGAAAGTATGTGATGCCCGCCGCCCCCCCCCCCCCCCCAAAAAAAAAATGCAGCCAAGGTGCTCTGTAAGCAGAGGGATGTGTTTATTTTTCCTTTGACTCCCGGGACCTGGTCAGCCACGCCTCAGCTCTGGTTACACTGTTCCCGCCTGACAATTAAGACTTTGGCAAGCACTGCAGCCTGAGGACACAGTAGAAAAATCAGGTAGCCGCCCCCTTCCCGAATCAGAAAGTTCTATAAACATCTCTGGGCTGGGCCCTGGTGCTGGAACTGGTTGAGCTGGATTCGGTGACACTTAGGTCGGACCACCTGTCAGGGTGAATAAAACTGCCTTTGATCTCAGCGTGGCTTTGGGAACAATCCAGAAAGCTGTTCTACCCTTTGAGTGTTTGTTTTGAATGGCAAGACTGAAAGGTAATCAGGAACTGCGTTTAAACCAAGGTACTGTTTATAAACCAAGGTCATCACTGCCCTGGCTGAGTTTCTAAGCAATGTAACCTCTAGCTACACAAGTTCTCCGTGCAATCAGTGAGTGCTTGGAAATGCATCATTCTCTTCACGTCTAGCTCAAGTGCTGCTTGCTTACTGGACAGCATCCACCCTAATACGTCTTGAGGGGAAATACTACCCTTAAGTTTCAAAGTCTGCGGCTCAGAGAGGTCAAGTTGTCGCTGACACAGAACTTGGAGTAATCTATGGAGGAATGCTGTAGAAAAAACTCTAGACTCTGAATGAAGAGATGCAGGAGGGGTAGCAGAACGTGCCACTCCCAAATATGCCACTTGGACTTAAGGGTTATTTCAAGCTGAAGGCGATTAAGAAGCAGCAGACATAAGAAAAGATTTCTGCCCTCCCCGTTTGCCCAAAAGCAGAGCTGGACTTGGAAAGATGTCTGCGCCCTCCCCTCTCTACCAGTAGGACAGAAGTTAATCAGTGGAGACAATTCTAGACCCTCATCAGTCCAGGGAGGGCAACAGAGGCATCTATTCAAGTTTGCTAAAACTGACCTTTATCTGCCATTAGTTTCCCCATGCATTTGCCTTTCCACCATTTGCCACCCTTAGAGCTCAAAGCCCTTCTCTGTCTGATCATATCTCTAAAAATTTATTGTTTTTTTCATTAAGGTGCTCTATAAGGCCAAATTCTAATCACTCCTTTGTGTTACTCATCTTTAGGTGTCCTTGATGTACAGCTAATTAACTTCTGTTTTTCTCTTTCATTTTTCTTTCGTTCGTCTACTTTAAAGGGCCTCAGCAGGAGAGGCCACTGACAGTAAAGGAAAAAGATGAAGCGGAGGATAGCAGGATGACTGGCAAGAACCGTAGGCAGGTTAGCTGGTCTTGCTTGGGAAAGAGTTTTATGCCCTATTTATGGACTTCCATCCATCCAATGTTATGGCTGCAACCTCAGAACCTCAGTTGCCGTTTTTAGTTGTGACTGATAGAAATGATCCCATCTGAAACTGACTTCAGGAGATAAGGGAATTCATGATTCTCATGACTGAAAGCAGGAGGCATGGCTGGATCAAGGCGCTCACATGCTATCATCACACATTCCTATCTCCTAGTTCTGGGTTCTCCTTACTGACTTCTTGCTAAGGCAGGGGCTCTTTAGGTTTTTGGAAACACTGCCACCAGTCCCTTGGTTATCCCAGACAAGATGCTTCTGTGATAGATTGTGTCACTGACCCCAATTCTTCAGCCCTTTCTGACCCTTCTGACCCACCCCTTTGCCATATAGCTTTGCAGTGCTTGGCCATGTGACTCGCTCAAACCAAAAGAATGAGGTAGAAGTGACAGTGGCACCTTCAAGCCAAGGCCACCAGTAGTTGTTTCTCTGAGCTCTCCTGTGCTTCTGCCACTTGTGTGAGAATGACATCCCAGGCTGGCCCCTTAGTTCCAGGAATGTCGTAGTTCTTTAGGGCTGCTATAACAAAGTAACACAGACTGGGTAGCTCAGATACAACAGGAGTTTATTGCCCACAGTTCTGGAAGCTGGGAGTTCAAGATTAGGGTGCGAACAAAGTTGGGTGAGGGCTCTCTCTGGGTCACAGACTTCTCCTGGTATCCTAACATAGCAGAAGGGAGCAGGGAGCTTTCTGGAGCCTCTTCAAAGGGCACTAATCCTATTCATAAGGGCTTCACCCTCTTGAGCTAATCACCTCTCAGAAGTTCTATTTACTTGACTCTCACCTGTGGGGGTTAGAGATTTCAACATATGAATTTGAGGGGGACACAAAAATTCAGTCCATGGCCGGGAGGATGAGAGACACAAGGTGCAGAGCTGGGCTATCCCAGCCCAGGTGAACCCGGACCTGCCAACCATTGCGTGCACGACCTAGCTCAGAACACACTGAAGAGCAGAACCCCTGACACACGTGATAAGTCAGTATCACAGATACCACTGAGATGACAAAATCTAATTGTTACAGCTTTTTCAGCCACCCCCAAGTCACCTGCCCAAGCCCAAGCTGGTCCTTAGGGTCCTTTGTACCTCCCCAACAACGTGGGCTAAAATCCTGTGGGCTTCCCATGGGGAAACTGGGTTCTCTAACAGAAGATGAAGAAGCCGGCCAGGCCTCCACTAGGAAATGTCCCTCTGGCTTCAACCACTTTCCCTGTGGGAGACTTGGGCTCGGAGGGCTTTTGTCCTGCTAATGAAACCAAAGAGTGAGGCGTCCTGGTGCCTATGGGAAGCTCCCCAGTCTGTCCACATCGTCTGGCGGGGCAGTCCCTGAACTGGAGCCTGTCTCGGGGCATTCAGGGTCTCTCCGGGCGTGTGGAACCAGCCTCTCTCAGCGCCGACTTCAAGGGGCCCACTTTCAGCCCTGCCGCTAGTTTCCCTGGAGGATACTGTGTGTCTTAGCCTTGTCCACTCAAGGATTTTCCTGTACAAACTAAAAATACTATTACACAACAAAATGAAACATTCATCACTTATTGCTCATATTCAGGACCTCGTGAGTAAACATTCAACATACACTACATACACATGTCTAAATCTAGGTGAGACTATTTTTGACCTCAAATTACCCCTCAGAAAAGGGAGAGAGAGAACTGGCTTGTTTTTGAAACCTTTCAAGTCTCTCCCACGAAGGTGTGCTCTTTTAATTTACCTTATTTGGACAACTTTTGTCAGACTTTTATAGCAAAGGCTGCAAATCCATATTGGTTTGGGCTGCTTATAGAGCTCACCTCACTGCATCAGAATTATGTAAGAGAGAATAAGAAAATATAGCTTCAGTAACTATTTCTGGTGGTGTTATTTTATGACTTCAAGTGCAAGCTTTGTAAACAAGCCTTTTCAAGTTTACAGATCTCCACCTATTAGTTAAAATTTTTAAATAGAAACATTAATATGAATGACCCCAGGTAGGTAGGTCATGAGATAAAACTTTCAAAAGTATCACTAGAAAGTTCCCTGTCCTAAAGATATAGACATGCCAACAATTCGTGCTGGACAACTTGGAAAGGGGGATTGTTATACCAAAGCCCAGGGGCTATAGGTACAGGCAAATGACATCATTGCGAGAAATGTGCTTGGAGAAGAGCAATATTTCTAAGTTAATATACCATAGTAGCAAATGTATGGATTTAAATGTGTATGGGTACCATTGATTCTTTAAATACTAGGAGATTCATTTCATCTACAACTATACGTGTGCATTTCCTGCAGCCACATTAGTCTTGAACTTGGATAGATTAATTCCTCCCACTTTATTATTATTTTTCAACATTGTAGCTATTCTAGTTCCCTTGCTTTTTCATATAAACTTCAGAATCATATAATCTTTAGTTACAAGAACCTGACTGTGATTTTCACAGCAATGGACCTAAACCTGTATCTGCCCTAAACTTGGGGAGAACTGACGTCTTTACTATGTTGAGTCTTCTAACCCACCAACGCAGTATGCCTCTACCTTTATCTAGATCATCTTTGATTTCTTCATCAGCATTTTGCAGGTTTCAGCATATGAGTTCTGTGTACATGTTGTTAGACTTACATAAAACCCAAGTATTTCCTCTATTTGAGTGGTTGTAAGTGGTATACTAGTTTTCATTTTGTGCTCCTGTGATCTTTGCTAGTATATAGAAGTTCAATAGATTTTTGTATGTTTATCTGGTATCCTGCAACCTCGTTGAAGTCCGTTTAAACCAGAGTTACTTTTGTAGATTCCTTGGGATTTTCTATGTAGACAATCATGTCAGAGGCAAATAGGGACAGTTTTATTTCTTTACAATATATAAATGTCGATGGATACGCAACTATAATGTGCAACTATAAACACTATTCAAAAGGTATAAGATGACGCGTGCCAACAACTTTGAAAGGAGGGTAGTTTCATGAAGCGCAGAGGTATCAGCTACTTCTTTTGTCCGCTGCTATTGGTGGCGATGCTGCCTTGTAGGCTTAAAAGCGCCCAAATCTCTGTTCCAAAGAGTCATCTCATCTCCTGCATGTATTCTTATGAAAAGAGGGTACTCACAGGTGCCAAGGAGTGCGGCAGAAAACAGGTGAGCTTCCCGCACAGGTCCAACAAATTGCCTGCAAGGCGTACCCTCCTATACCAAGCACTGCTTACCGGCAGGCCAGGGTTGGCGGCAACTGCGTTTCAGGGAGCGGTCTCACCCCGGAGGCCGCCGCTCCTCCCAGACGCGCGGGGGCGCTGTGAATCTCTGCAGGTCGTGGCGGCGCTCTTTCTCAGCGCCCCCCTCCCTTTTTTTTTTTTTTTTTTTTGACTGAGGCTTTCGGGACGGCGGCGGGAAGATGGCGACCCGCAGGGACAGGCTTGGAGCGGCGGAGGCAGAGGGCAGTGCGAGCGGCGCGGGGAGCGGGGGAGTGGAGGTGGTGCTTCTCTCCGATCCCGCCACCCCTGCCCCGCTGTGCCCTCACGGTGGGTCCGTGTTGCGGCTCAGTCTGGCTGTTGGGTGCCGAGGGGCGAGGGCTACCCTGAGTTTCCATGGGCTTTTAGTGCTTCTGAGTTTTTATCAGCCTGTCTCCTCCACCGTATGTGATGCCTAGAAAACGCGTCTTCCTCGGGAAGTTGTGGTTTTCAACTTAAGGAACGTCATAGAAAGTCCCCACCGTGGTGGTTTTGGCCCCACGGCTAGAGGCTAGGCAAAGGGGATGCGTGTTATCGAGTAATTCCCTTTGCTGAGTACTTGAGGATTTCATTTGTTGATTGGCTTTCTTTTCAGTTAAAAAAACAAAAAACAGAAGTTAGGGAGAACGATGACATGAATTCTTGCTTAGAAACGAGACCCGGTTTTTCTCTTACTTGCGGGGAGAGGGTGTGTCCAGCTCTAAAAGCTCAGGATAATTGAGGGGACCGGACCGAGGTGGCCAAGTGCTTGGTTCTCTGGACGCCCTCCTCGGTTTAGTCTCAGGACCCAGGTCATTGACCGTGTGGACAGCAGTTCTACTAACAATAACATTTTATTTCTGGAGAGACCAGTTTTCAAAAATTATTTCCTAATTATTAAAGTAGCGGATTTTACTATGACAGATCGTGCATAAAATTAAAACAAGGTTTAGTGAAGGCGGTGAAAACTAGGAACTTGATGTTGATGCCTGTTTGACATGGTTTTTCCTCTTCTGGATCTAGGACCCACTCTTTTGTTTGTGAAGGTGAACCAAGGCAAAGAAGAGACGCGGAGGTTTTATGCCTGCTCCGCCTGTAGGGATAGAAAAGATTGTGATTTTTTTCAATGGGAGGATGAAAAGGTATATTAACTTTTTGGATATGTATGTATTTTTTGGTGTACGTGACATTTTTGAGACTGCATGAGATAAATTTCTTTTAAGGCATGAAAAAAATTTTTTTTTGTTAGACTGGAGTTCGTACTTACTTTGAACTTACTTAGATCACTGATGTCTTAAACTACTGTCTCCAAGACTTAGTTCCCATTAAGACCCTCTGGGGTGTTAATACTGGGTTTGCCAGTAAAGATAAGATTTCTCCCTGAAATGCCTAGCTCATGATTGTTCCAGAAAGTGTTTTAGAAAAACACGTTTTTTTGAACATTTGCATTGAACATCTTTTATACAGCTCCTGAGCACTTAGAGAAATAGTTATGAGCTGGGATCCCCTTGGACTTGGTCTAATTACAGTTTCTGAAAGTTTTGACCAGAACACTTTCAGTGTTGTTGGGTTTATTAAAAAGCAATCTTGTATGTTACTCTTCCATACCCCTGTCAAGATCACCACATGTGAGTTCATCCCTGTGCTTTAATCTTCACGTGTTGGGTTCTGCTTCAAACTATTCTAGACTTTCTAGACAGTTTAATGTTTTGGGTGTCTCCCCCCGTGCCCCACCCCCCATGAATGCTTGTCTACAACTTTAGGCCACTTGAATTTCTGCCTTCTTATTGTCAGAATGTGGCACCAGTTTCTCTAGCATGGTGGCAAGTGTGGTAGGATATTAAGTGGATTTCGTACTCTCAGTTGTCAGGAGCTAGACTTGCTGCCCGAGAAGCTCGCAACCGAAGATGTCAGCCGCCTCTGTCCCGAACGCAGTGTGTGGAAAGGTACTGATGTGCTCGTTTTTATCTATTATCCTGTATTTTTCAACCCCTGCCTTTAAGTTGACTTTAAGTAAGTAATTAATTTTTATTGTGGTAAATATATACGTAACAAAATTTGCCAATGCAGCAGCATTACTCCCCAGTGTTGTGCAACCATCACCACTGTTTCTCAAACTTTTTCATCATCCAAAAAAGGAACTCTGTCATCATCAAGCATTAACTGCCATTCCCCCTCCCTCCAGTCTCTGGTGACCTCTAATCTACTTTTGTCTCCATTAGTTTGACTATTCTAGGTACCTCGGGTGAGTGGAACCATCAGTGTTTGTCCTTTTATGTCTGACTTCTTTCATCTAGCATAACCTGGTCAAGGTTTATCCATGTAGCATGTGTTAGAGTTTCGTCCTTTTGTAGCTGAATACTATTCCACTGTAGGTATAAACCACATTTTGTTTATCCACCCATCAGTGGACACCTGGGTGTTTCCACGTTGTGGCGTCTGTGAATGGTGCTACAGCACACATTGGTGGAGAAGTGCCTGTTGGAGTCCCTAGTTTCCAATGTTTTTGCATATATGCCTATGAGTGGAATTACTGGATCATATGCTGATACTATATTGAGTTTTTGGCAGAACTGCCAAACAGTTTTCTATAGCGGCTGCACCATTTTACATTCCCACCGGCCATGTAGGAGGGTTCCAGTTTCTCCATGTCCTTCTCAACACTTATTTCCTCTTTTATTTGATAATACCTTCCCAGAAATTGTGAAGCGATATGTCATTTTGGTTTTAATTTTTTATTTCCCTATATTCATACTGTTGATCATTTTTTCATGTATTTTTTTTGGCTATTTGCTTATCTTCTTTTCTTTTTTAAAGATTTTATTTATTTATTTTTAGAGAGAGGGCAAGGGAGGGAGAGAAACATCAATGTGCAAGAGAAACATCGATTCGTTGCCTCTCACACGACTGGGCCAGCAACCCAGGCATATGCCCTGACTGAGAATCAAAACAGTTCCTACCCCCTCAGTTCACAGGCCTGTGCTTAGTCCACTGAGCCACAGTAGTCAGGGAGGGCTGTTTGCTTATCTTTGGAGAAATGTCTAATCAGTTGTTTTGTTAAATTTTTAATGGAGTTTTCTTTTTGTTGCTGAGTCATGGGAGTGCTTTATATGTTCACCCTTATCAGATGATTTGAGAATATTTTCTTCCATTCTTTAGATTGTCTTCACAGTCTTGATGATGTCCTTTGACACACAAGAGTTTGATAAAGTCCAGTTTGTCAAATTTGTCTTTCATTGCTTGTGTTTTTGGTATCATAGCTAAGAAACCACTGCTAAATCCAAAACCAAGAAGATTTCCTGTAATGTTTCTATTGAAATACTAAACCAGTTTTTTAAAAAAGCTGTAAACACCTGTTTTTAAATATCTGCACTGTTAAAATGTTTTATTGGGTGAACTGTAATTGAGTCATAGACTTAATTCTTTGGTGAACCTGTGAAAAGAACTCATCCCTGTGCTGCGGCATAGGCCTTGTTCTCTGTGTGCGGGGAGAAGGTCCCTGAGAATCCCTTGTTCTGGGCTGCTGGTGATAAGTGGGTTTTCACTCTCTTGCCTCCTCCCTTCTGGCTACCTGGGCTGCTGTGTATTTAAGGATGCTGCATTCCTATCCAGGCCAAGTGGAAAAGATTCCTGGGCTCTATTAAAAATGTCTTCCTAAGCTGCTTGCTTAGTAGATTTTAAAGTCCTTTGATAGAGGAGGCTTTTCTTAAGATAAATGGATTGCCTCTTAAGCAAAGTACTTAATCAGTGATGTCTACTTAATTTATAGTAATTCAATCGATAACGAAAATGTTGGAAGTGGAAGTACTATAAATTGATCACCACTGGGAGCTAGGCACCACGCTAGGTATTTCACCTGAGTCGTTACTTAATCCTGCTGAGTTGGTTTGCTTACACGAGAAAATCGAGGCTTGGGGAAGTGGAGCGTCTTCATCCGGTTCATACTGTTTGCTGCAGTGATTGAGCAGCGACTCGCACTTAGGCCTCTCTGCTGCCAACGTGGCGGTTTTATTTATTTATTTGTTTATGTAATCCTCACCCGAGGACATTTTTTCTTTTCTGTTGCTTTTAGAGAGAGTGGAAGGGAGAGAGAGAAACATCGATGGGGGTTGCCTCTCACACTACATTCAGCTCAGGGATCATGCACGTCTCTGGACTCAGGGAACAAACTTGCAACCCAGGCACGTGCCCCGACTGGGAACTGAACCGGCAGACTTTGGGGTACGGGACAGTGTTCCAACCACCTGAGCCACACCAGCCAGGGCATCCAGTGTGGTGTTTTTTTTTTGTTTTTTTTTTAAATAAAATGGATGGGAACATTGCACATAAAATGTTAATAGTATTTATCTCCACCAACATGGTATTTTTAAACATAAAAGCAGATAGTAGCCCTGGCTGGCGTAGCTCAGTGGATTGAGCACGGGCTGCAAACCAGGCATCGCAGGTTCGATTCCCAGTCAGGGTACATGCCTGGGTTGCAGGCCATGGCCCCCAGCAACTGCCCATTGATGTTTTTTTCTCTCTCTCTCTCCTTCTCCCTCCCTTCCCTCTCTAAAAATAAATAAATAACTTTAAAAAAAGAATTTGGTACCAGGAAAAAATATTTTTAAAAAAGCAGATAGTAATTAATAAATTATGTTTACTAATTTAGTTTTAAGGAACTATAAGGAGATGACACCTGAGAGGTTATGTAGATATACATCATAATGAGATTATCACAATGAGATAAAATAGATTCTCTGAGATGCAGAAAGTGGAAACACATCGCCCATAGTTTCTCCCTCTGTACCCATCACCTTGGTCATTTTGTCACTTCTCTGCCAGGGTTTGCTTTACGAGGTCGTAGTCACAAGGTGCGTGTTGTTTGTGCTCTGCCTTACCGCTTGTGTCTGATAAGCACGCCGTTCATGTTACTGCATAAGGATATTGGTGATTCCATGAAACTCGGAGAAAATTTAGGTGCTCTTGTGTCTTTGTATAACAAAACTTAGTCTGGAGCTAAAACACCTTTCTTGTCTTTATACTGTCAGTATGTTTTTTGATGATAAAGGATTTTTGAAACTCATGCTTTATGCTTTTAGAATATAAAAACACTGGCCAAAAAATGAAGTATTAAAGAATTTTCAAAAGGTTGGTTGTTTGGGCTGCTTGTAGAGGTTAATTTACCTTGCAGACTCAGAATTATTTAAAAGAGAAAATAAATATATAGATTCAGTAAGACTTGGGGGCCATAATGTCATCTGTCATCTAGTGCTGATTCTTGAGGGCATGCCTTAAAATAATTTCAGCACCTTAAATCATCTGTGACCCCTAACCTTGGATTCTGTTGCCTAACCCACCATCTATCCATCTATCCAATCATTTATTCTTTCTGTTGAGGGCTCAGAAAGAACTTAGAATGCCGGTGGTGGAGTGGAGACAGTAAAAAGTCAGGCAGTGAAAGGGGAGTGTGGGCAGTGTTCACGGAAAAGGCCACGTGCCCAGAGAGGCAGGGGTGCTGCGGCGTGGTTGTGCCTCTGCTGACCAGCGCTGTGTAAAGACATGGCATCTGAAGAGGTTTTGAAAGGTATGAGTAGAGGTGTGAGCTTTTTGAAATGTAATGTCTTTGATTTCATTGCGTTCCGATGTAATTAATGTTCTTATGATTTCTTATATGCTTTCCATGGAGTAAAAGTTCAAAATCATTCCTCTGAAAATTTTCATTCCTCTGAAAATTTTAAATCTTGGCTTTTAAAATCATAGGCTTACTAAATTATCTATTCTCTGTTGTTAATGACCTATTCTGCTAGTGTGTCTTCAGCTTAAGATTAGCAGCTCATTCCTGCGTGCAGAGGGACTGACAGGTGGTATACCGTGACTTGAGATTGTAATTGCTTTCTTTCTCTTTTTTAAATATATTTTATTGATTATGCTATTACAGTTGTCCCATTACCTCCTCTTCATTCCCTTCCACCGTTGTAATTGCTTTTTCATGTAACTTTATGCAACTCATTTATGTTATCTTATAATATAACTACTGTATTTGAAAGTAGTGGAAAGGGCTTAAACACTATACCTATCCTATAAGTAAACTTTTCATCTGTTATTGTGGAGTAACAATCGCTTTCCATTGACTGATTTATTTTTGAAATTGGTGTAAAGGAATGTGGCAGCTAGCAAGATGAATCGATCTTGCTGCTTGGTGTTAATTATGGAGCTGGCGGTGCGGCCCAGACTCCCGGGTTTTACGGAACAGGGCTGGGTGCTTGGTTTTCTAGTCTCACTCTTCGAACCATCCTTTATATTTCATGTGCTCAGTTGACAGAGTTACGTTTTGTGCCTGAGATTTGACTTTCGTTATAGTTTTTTGCTGCCGGTTATGCTCTGAAATGTGTTATTCTATTATGTAGTACGTTGGCACCTTTATTGTGACCTGTGAAGTCTCGAGGAAGATATATTCCAATGCTAGAATCAGCATTAATTTATGTGCATTCAGATAGTTTTATTTAGTTGATATTTCATTTGGTTATTTTTTTTTTTTCAGAGCTCATTTAAACTCAGATTTTCAAGGTCTGCTATTAGGGAAATGCCATAAACATAATTTGTCTCCTCCAGGAAAGGCAAATGGAACATCAAATAGAGATCAATAAAAATGACATTTCAAAATGCTAGCCTGCAATTTGCGAATCATACTGAGCCATGCGGCAGAATGAATCTTCTCCCCCTGGGGTGTGTGCAGTACGTACAAATAGGAAGGGAGGCCGAGTACTCCGTAAGTCTCCATGGTCTCCCGCTCTTGCTGCCACACTTGGGAACCTGGTGTCCGACTGGTGGTTGCCAGAGGGGAGGGGTGTTGGGCCACTGGGTGAAAAGGTGAAAGGCTGAAGAGATACAGGTTGTTAGTTATAAAATAGTCGTGGGGATGTAAGTCCAGCACGGGGAACAGAGTCAGTACCGTCGTGGTAACTACGTGTGGTGCCAGGCGGGCCCCGGAAATGTCAGGGGGAGCACTTTGTTGTACAGCGTGTGCTTGTCTGACCACCATGTGCCGTACACCTGAAACTAATACAAAATAGTAGCGAGTGTAAACTGTAATTGAAAAATAAAATTTAAAAATATGGTCTAACAAGAACAAAAAATAAACCCTTGCGTCTGCATGTTAAACTTAGAGCAGTGTAGTTGGATGATTATGCTGTGATTTGGAGTAGAGAGAAACGGGCACAAGATCTCAGTTCTCCTTTAGTCGAGAGATGGTGGATAAGCCAGCAGCAGAGCTTTCTGAAGGACGGCTTTGACACAGCACCAAGATATGTAAGTGGAGGTTCACTTAACGGTGTCTTTCTTTTAGAAAAGTAATTAAACTTAGTGCCTGAAGACAGCCCTGTGTAGGGAGTGGACTGTGCCGTCACCCCAGCCCCTCGCTGCCCTGGGCTGTGCGCCGTCTCTTCCCGGTGATGCCGCAGCTTCCACCTGTAGCTGGCGCCACAGAACCTGACTGCTTCATCTGCTTGGGGGTCCTCCTTGTCCTTTCCCTGTCATAAAGCCCTTGGTTGTCGTCGTCATTCTCTCAGCGATTTCAAACCTGTGCTCTGTGGCTCTGTTTTGGGGCCTGCCCGCATGTAAACTAACTCCGTGTTTCGGGACCGAGTCATCGGGAGACAGCAGCGACACCCCACCTGTCGTTCCCGCATGCTCAGTCCCGCAGAGAGAGGGCAGCACGGAGAACTGGGGCCAAGTCTGCACATGGGTGCACGCTCCCTGCGACCTCATGACCTCTGTCTGGCTGACAGCCGTTATAAATCGTATGTCAGTACACACATGCTGAAACGCGAGAAGATAGGTTTCTGGGAAGTGATGAAATGGGATGGTTGGGTTTTGCTTTGCAATCCAGTCTGATGGGCTTTTTCTTCTTCTTTTTTTTTAATCCTCATCTGAGGATATGTTTATTGATTTTTTAGAGAGAGAAGACGGGGGAGAGAGAGAAACTTGGATGTGACAGAGAAATACTGGTCAGTTGTCTCCTGCAGACACCCTGACTGGGGATCGAACCCGCACCCAGGAGTGTGCCTTTGACCTGGGCCCAACCTCGAAACCTTTCTGTACGCGGGCTGACGCTCCAGCCAACCGAGCCCCGGTCAGGCCTGACAGGATTTCTTTTCCTGGGCGGATTTAGTCCATCTTCACAGTGGGTGTAATAGATGCGCTGGGTCTTAGTGTTGCTGTGTCATTTTGTGCTCCCTGTTTTACTGCTTCCTTCAGTTCTCTTCCACCGTATCTGACCTTGTTTCCTTTCCTTGTGTAATGTTTGCTTCTGCGTTTTTGTTGTGGTGGTTGCCCTTGTCACTTGCTATGCTCTATTTCACCCTTTTTTAAGACAGTCTTCCTCTAAAAATGAGAAATGATGAATCTAGTATATTTCGTCTTCCTAGCTGTCAATCACCGACTGGTTGTAGTTGATTGTTTCATTTTAGGGTTAAGTTGTATGCCTTTGAATATTGCTTATAGCTCTTTTACCTGGTTATTCCGTTTTAAACGATATCTTGCGGCCTCTGGCTCTAAAGCACGCAGCGATCGGTATACTCACACTCTCCGCCACTTTCTCGTGCCTGTCCCTCACCACTGTTACTTGAATCGTGTTCCTTACGGGTTCTCCTGGATGTGTGATGCCATGTACGTTTGTGCTGTCATTCTGCGGGCAAAGGGGTCCAGTGCTTCCCGACAGCCCCGTGGCTGCAGTCTCTACAGTCGTCTCCTATTTAGCCTAAATTCATCCTCTGGCAGTTCTTATTTTTTAAATAAAGGCCTTTTTTAACAAACAGTTTTAAAATCAAAACTTACATGTGGCTCTTCTGTGATCCATTCACATGAGATGTCCGGCGTGGGCGAATCTGTGGAGGGAGAGGTGTGTTCGTGGACTTGGTGGCCCCAGGGGCGGGGAGGGGACTGTGGAGTGGCTCCTGGTGGAGACTGGGTTTCCCTCCGAGGCGATAGAGAGGTTCTGGGATTCTGCTGTGGTGCTGATGGTCGCACAAGTCCATGAATGTTCTAACAACCACTGAATCGCGCACTTGAAAGGGGTGATTGTGTGGTGTGTGAATTAAATCCCAGTGATGAAGTCCGTGTTTGGGAATCGAATGGGACAGTTCTGTGAGGTTTTGTGAAGAGCAACAGTCTCCACCCCTGTGTTTCCCCTCCCCGGAAGCGACCCCGGTCAGCTCTTCTGGCGGAGTCCAGAATTCTCTGTCCTGTCTGCGCAGTACGAGCCTGCTTGTCTTGTACTTCTTGGTTTATCGGTTGTTGGAATCGTCTGCGTATTTCTCATGGGAGACGAGGATTTATCTTTCCCTTCTCTCTCTCTCTGCCCTCTCGCCTCCAACTCCCCTGCCCCAGGCGTAATCCATACACTTTCATGCCTTATTCTCACGTGGTTCTATCGTGAATGTGGCTAGGTTCAGAATTTAGTGTTTGCATTATTATAACCATAAAAGCATTGCTCATAGCCGAACCCTGAAATAAATCACAGTAAATTCTTTCCTACACAGCTTTTTGTTTTCCTTGCAGTTAATAGCAGTTTTGGGTTTCTTGTTGCAGCTGCTGTCCGTGGTTTATGTGCTCCTCACTGCTTCAACTGTGGGGCTTCGCCGGCTGCCTGAAGCACGCAGAACGTGCAGGTGTAGCGCAGTCTCGTGGTTTTACCTTCATCTGTCCTAGGCCTCCTTACGATGCTCCAGTCCGTGCGTCGCCCTTTCTGCCTGGCACCCAGCCGTCCAGCACGTTCTCCAGGAAGGGCCCAGGTTATATATATAACTACACGACCTGAGTTCTCCCAAGTCCAAAGTCAGGCATTTATTCATCGTAAAGATTCTCAGAAAACTGGGAACAGACGGGAACTTCCACAGCCTGATAAAGGGCGTCTGAGAAAGACGCATAGCTACCGCCACACTGATGAAAGACTGGACGCACTCCTCCTGAGACTGGGGCATGGCAAGCTCGTCCACCGCTACCATTTCTATTCATCGTTGGCTGGGGGTTCTAGCCAGTTCAGTGAACCTGGATTCGGGAATAGAGCTGGACAGTAAATATAAAAATTACTGGAGAGAATGAGAGGCCATATTTATATAACTTTTATTACAGCATACTTCCTGATAGAATTTTTCTGTTATCAATAACTGATATAATTTCTCAGTTATTGTTGTTAATCTCTTACTGTGCCTACGTTGGAAATTAAACTTTATCATAAGTATGCACATATAGGAAGACACGGAAGGTGTACAGGGTTCGATCCATTCCGCGGTTTCAGGCATCCACTGGGGGTCCTGGGACGTGTGCCCCGTGGACAATGGGGGACTCCTCCAGGCGGGGCGGTGGAACCACTCCCTCATTTGTTCTCTCCGTGTTCACTGCTGGGCTACCTGCTGTCCGGTGTCTGCACACTGTGGTCTCCCGTCTTCTGTCTGTTGCAGACTTACGAGGGTCAGGGTGGGGAGTCTGGTCTCTTACCCTGTCCTGGCTGGATGTGAGCGGCTGTGACGGTTAACGTCCAGTGATGAGGGGCAGCGGCGGTGAGCTCCTCCTGGTTCCTGTGGCTGCTGCAGCTGGGTCTTCCCCCCTGCCTTTCCTGTCCTCGGGGCCCTTTTCTCGACTGACATTCTGACATTGTTTCTTTGAATTACTTTAAAAGTTTCTTCTGATGTCACTGTCCTTGTTCTTTCCACTCATAGATAAAGCTGTCAAAATAACAGTTATCATAGAAGTAGAAACATTTAAATCACTGGCACCATAAGCTGGTTCCTGCGGCAGCCACGGGGAATGTCTGTCTGTCCCTGCCCTGGGTGCTTGAGGTGAAACTGCTTAGAGATAAAACGTTTTAAAGCCCAGTTTGATTCTACAGTAAGTTCAGTTTTTCCAATGCAGTTTCAGAGTTTAGTTCAGTGCTGCTCAGATTTGGGCACGCTGACCCTCTGTGAGTCCCAGTAATCTTACTTATTTTTCTTTCGTTTTTCTTACTTTGATTTCATAGCTGGTATAGCATATACAAAGTCAGCAGTTTTTAAAACATACTAACTGTGATTATTTTCTCTCTCTACTCATTCCAAGTAAAAAGAACAAAGAGGTGGTGAGTTTGAAATCAGATATAAGGATGACTTGAAGGAAATCAGATGGGATTCCAATATGTATTATTTCAGGCTTTGAATATCAGCTTGCTGTTTTGGAGATGAGCTTCTCAGAACTGCCTTCATCAGTATTGCTAAGAATAAAGGAGCTTTGTAGGAACATTTTTTTCTTTTAGGGAATAACTTTTCTTTTTTTTCGTTTCTTTTTTTTTTTTCTTCGGAGGTACTTTTTCTTGCTAAGTATGCCATAAGAACTTGAGGAATGATCTTAATTTCTTATTTTAAAATGACTATCATACTGAGCCAGACTGTTGAACAATTCAAAGTTAGATTTGTCAATACATTTGTCAATAAATTTAAACATGATAGTAGTCTCCATTACTACTAAGTTGTTTGAGTAATATATTATGTTCACATTTTAAATGGATATTGATCTTCATTCAGTGACTGAATTGGAGCGTCTCAATTCTCATGAAATTGCTGATTCTCTTCCACTTTGTAGGCGTGCAGCCAGACATAAATTCTAGCCAACATTCCACAGATTTTTCTTACCTTAACTACTTCATGCAATACTCTAAGAAATAATAATACTTTTGCATACTGAAAATAGCAAAAATAAGTTATCTTTAAAATGACAAACTGAAAATATATTCCTTGTGTTTTGTTGTGTCTTGAAGGTACTTGAAGTTCATCGAGTTGCCACTGTCTCAGAGAAAGTTTTGTCAAAGGTGTCAGCAGCTGCTGTTGCCGGATGACTGGGAGGGGCATCAGGAGCACCAGGTCGTGGGGGATATTTCTACCACCCAGTTAAGAAGGCCCAGTCGGCTCCTCTCTCCACTGGAAAATAAGAAGACGAATGCCCAGTATTTGTTCGCTGATAGGAGCTGTCAGTTCTTGGTAGACCTGCTCTCCACCCTTGGGTTCAGGAGAGTGCTGTGTGTTGGAACACCACGGTATGTGACACGACTTTTGAAGAACTTTTGCTGGCACCACTGTTTAAACTGCAAGAAAAAATTACCAAGTTCCAGGATATATTGCATAAAGCTTTGAGTATACAAAGAAGTAATAATGCATGCTCCCTCTTAAGGAATTTGCAATCTGTATTCCATTTGAGAGAAATCTTTATAGATTCTGGTACGCAATAGGAGATTCTTTTTTTTTTTTTTTTAAGATTATTTATTTATTTATTTTTAGAGAGGGGGAAAGAGAGGGGGAAAGAGAGGGAGAGAAACATCAGTGTGTGTTTGCCTCTCACATGCCCCCTACTGGGGACCTGGCCTGCAACCCAGGCATATGCCCTGATTGGGAATTGAACCGACGACCCTTTGGTTCACAGGCTGACACTCAATCCACTGGGCCACACCAGCCAGGGCAGGAGATTCTTTCTGATTTAATTCTTAAATTGTTTAAAAGTTTAGATTTCTGTGTTTCAGATAAGTTCTACCTTTTAAAAAATATTTGCAAAACTGAAACTTTGGTTATATCTCTTTAGTGTTTCATTGAAATATTAGATATATCAGGAAAAGATTGATTTTTTTGTTTATTTGCTTATTATGTATGGCATTTGTAATTTCTCATTAAATTTGCTTTCACTAATTGCTTTAGGTTGCATGAGCTGATCAGGTTGAAAGCATCAGGTGACGAGAAGTCTAACATTAAAAGCCTTTTACTGGATATTGATTATCGGTAGGTTTACAAATTATAATATTTATCCCTGTTCATTGTCTCCTGTTTGTTTTTAATGTTTTCCTTTTTAAAATTGTTTATTGCCTGTTACAATCCTAGCTAACATTGGGAAGTAGTAGTTGCTTATGAGCCACTTTTTAATCGTGTAGCTGCATGTCTCATCTTCCCTGTTTCTGACAGAGGCGGTGAGTTTCTCTCTTTCCGAGTGTGCTGCCTGCGTTTTCTCTCTGAGCGTGCTTATAATTTAGAGAAGATCCGTACTGAGTGAAATTTCTTCTCATACACTTGTTTTCAAAGATAATTCTGAGCTTCCTCCAGGAGTTTGCTTCATTGCGATGTTTTAAGTGTGACAAGACATTTGCTGTAGTATTTTTACCAGGTCATGGGCATGCTGTTGTCTCCCTGGACAGGGCCCTAGGGAAGGGGACGTGGACGAGGGAACAGACAGGTCCCGAGGCCGAGGGTCGCGGGCAGAGAGCTTCAGAAGCCAGTGGCTTCTGCTCACGTTGGGACAAATGGATTTGAGACAGGAAGAGGAACACGTCTTGAATCTCTTGTCTGGTGGTAATTTAGAAAATGCAGACTTTTGGTTTATAACACAAGATGGCAAATATGTTTATCCACAGTCTCTGTAATTCTGTACATTTGAAGTACTCTTCCTAGTTTCTGTAATTATTTGAATTCCAGGAGTTCATAGTGAGTCTGTAGGACACCATGATTTTAGTGTCTTTCACTTGTTCTTAAATATATTGAAGGAATCGGGCTTTGTGTTCCTTCTTATTTAATCTGTTAGGGTCTGTTTGGCTAATATTCTAGTGTTAGTTGGAGAGAATGTATGAAATTACATATTCTCACTAAAGAAGGCAGATTTTTAAAGTGAAAAAGTCACAAAAAGTAGAGCTTTTATAATTTATTTTATTTAGATTTGCAAGTCACCTTTAGGTGGTCTAAAATCAGCAGCTACATTTCTCAGAAATAAGCCACACTTTCTGAACCATTCGTTCCTTGTTAACCGGGCTGGCATTCGTGGATACCTGCGTGGTGGGAGTGATCCTTGGTAGAATGGAGTTCCATAAGTGACAATACAGAGTTCTAGGTAAACTGAGTTTGTTTTTCTAGATTGAGATAAAATCTACATAAAATTTACTATCTTAAAGTTTATATTTCAGCAGTTTTTGCTATAGTCACTGTGTTTTGTGACTGTCATCATTATTTAATTCAAGAACACTAAAAAGAAGCTTCTTGCTCACTTCCCCTGACAACCACTGTTCTGCTTCCTGTCTCCGTGGATTTGTCTGTTTCCCGTGTTTTATATACACAGGATCATACAGTGTGTGACCTTTTGTGTCTGGCTCCTTTCACCTAGCATGTTTCCAAGCTACGATGTAACAGTACTTCATTCCTTTGCAGCTGTATAATATTCCATTGTATAAATATACTAATTTCTTTTTTTAACTACCATGTTTTTTCCTCGGGTAGTATTATTGTTAAATTATTATAAATGTTTACTTTGGAGGCAGAAGTTTAACTCTTGGATTCTTACTGACAGTAAGTTATTAACAGCCAGTGATGAACAGGAACTGGTATTTATTGAGTGCTTGTCATGTGTCCTAACTCATTCGATCCTCACAGCAGTCCTATAAGATAGATGCTTTTATGCTTCTCACTTTCCAGATGGAAAACTGAGGTACAAAGAGGTTAAATAACTTGACCAAAGTCACAGTTTATAAGTCACCAAGTCGGCCTGACTCCAAAAATTAAGCTATCCTCCGGAAATAATTTTGCTTTTGAAGTTGTATAAAAGCCCTTCTTATATGGTCCATCTCTCTTGTCACCCTCCTGTCTTTCCTTTGTGTGTCTGTCCCCTTACCGTGTTTCCCAGAGGTTTTCAAACGCGTTAATCACTGGTTTCCAGACTATTCACATATTTGGAATTAGGCGTGCTGTAGGTTGGGAATCTTTCTTTCATTAGGGTCCTGAAAACTCGTTCCTGGAGCCCAGGCTCCCGCAGGCTTTAGTGCAGTCTGGATCCCGGGCCTCACATGGTGTTGCTGGGCCTCTTCCCCCCTCTGCCTCGCGTCTGTCTTTCTCTGTGGACCGGCCTTACGCTGCGGGCAGCTTGCTTCACGCTGCCGGGGACTTCAGTCTCAGCCTCCCCACCCCGGGGAAAGCGGCTGTCTTTCCCGAGAGCTCCGGAAGCCACGCCCCAGGCAGTCCTCTGCTTGGCTTGGCTGGGGTTGTGTGCCCGTTCCAGAACCATCTCTCTGGCCTGGCGGACAGGGTGCTCTGGCCAGCCCCTGGCCAGCCACATGAAGCGGCTTCTCCATAGGAAACAGGGGAGACATGGATGCTGGAGAACAAACAAAAGAAGGCCCATGTCCACGAATGAATTACTTAAGACAATATGTCTCAGCTCTTGCAGCACTGACACTCCTGTCTTTAGTACGTAAGTGAAAAGGGTACAGTGCTCTCTTTCCAATAGTATGGTTTTTGAAGTTAGATTGTAAATGACATAATGATTGTGATTTCATTAAAGACAAGCTTTTTCCATGCTAGTTGTGGTGGACTGGTTTATATACAGAAGTAGAAGAAATCATAGTGTTTCCTCTCCAAGAACTTGTTCAGTTTCCCAGGATACCTGGTTTCCTTTTTTCCTTTTTGGGGAAACATGATCTTTAGTACTGTCTCCCAAGCATTCTGGATTCTGCCTTTTTAGACATTTTTTAATGCATTTAAGATTTTCAAGAAGTAGAATCATAACTTCTAGACCTCTTTCCCACTTGCCGTATTTTAGGCACGTTTCTGAGTTGTATTTTACGCACATTTTTGGTGCTAGTCACAAGGTTGGGCAGCCATCACCGCTGTCCAATCCAGAACATTGCCATCCCCTTTGAAAGAAACACTCTCCCCAGAAGCAGTCTCTCTTTGCTTCCGCCCTCCCATCCTGGTAACCCTTGGCCAGCAGTAATGTACTTTCAGTCTCTCCTGGATATTTCATATGAATGGAACCGTATAACCTGTGGCCTTTAGCGCCTGGCTTCTCTCGCTTAGCACAGTGTTTTCAGGGTTCATCCGTGTTGTAGCAGGCATCAGTACTTTATTTCTCTTCGTGGCTGAATAACATGCTATTGTATGGATATACCAAATTTTGTTTATCTGTTCATCAGTTGATGGACATTTGGGTTGCTTTCACTTTTTGGCTATTACGAATAATGTTTGCTATAAACATTTGTATAATTTCTTTGTGTGAACGTATGTTTTCGTACCTCTCGGGTATTGTATTAGTTTGCTAGGGCTGCCATTACAAAATGCCATAGACCGAGGGGCTTAAACAACACAAACTTACTCTCAAACAGTTTTGGAGGCCAGAATTCCAAGGTCAAGGTGTCAGCAGGCTTGGCTCCTCCTGAGGCCTCTCTCCTCCCTGGCACGCGGCCGGCCGCCGGCTCGCCGAGCCCTCACGTGGCCTCCCCTCTGTGCACGCGCGTCTGCGGTCTCTGTGGGCGCGGGCTGCCTCTTTTCAGTGTTAAAGCCGGGCACTCCTGAGTTAAGTTTGTTCCTGTTCTGTTCTTTGTGTTGCTACTGTTGTTTTCTCAATATCATTTTGTCTTACTCATTGCTATTGCCCTGATTTACTTTTTTTAAAAAATTGTGACAAAATACACAGCATAAAATTTACCATGTTAATCATTTTAAATGTACGGTTCATCAGTGTTAAGTGAAGTATATGTACATGAATGTACAGCCATTTTCCAGAACTTTCTTCATCTTACCTGATTTTTTGCTAAGTATAGTTTTTGATTATGCTATTACAGTTGTCCCATTTTTTTCTCCCCTTTATTTCCCTCCACCCTGCACACACACCCCCCTCCCATGGCATTCCCCCCCGACTTAGTTCATGTTCATGGGTCGTACATACAAGTTCTTAGGCTTCTCCATTTCTTATACTGTTCTTAACCTCCCCCTGTCTATTTTGTACCTACCATTTATGCTTCTTATTCCCTGTATCTTTTTCCTTCATCTCCCCCTCCCTCTCGCCTCTGATACCACCCCCCCATGTGATCTCCATTTCTGTGGTTCTGTTCCTGTTTAGTTTGTTTTTGTTTTTTTATTTTAGGTTCAGTTGTTGATAATTGTGAATTTGTTGTCATTTTACTGTTCATAGTTTCAATTTTCTTCTTTTTCTTAGATAAGTCCCTTTAACATTTCATATAATAAGGGCTTAGTGTTGATGAACTTCTTTAACTTGACCTTATCTGGGAAGCACTTTATCTGCCCTTCCATTCTAAATGAAAACTTTGCCAGATAGAGTAATCTTAGGTGTAGGTCCTTGCCTTTCATGACTTTGAATACTTCTCTCTAACCCCTTCTTGCCTGCAAGGTTTCTTTTGAGAAATCAGCTGACTGCCTTATGGGAACTCCTTTGTAGATAAGTGTCTCCTTTTCTCTTGTGGCTTTTAAGATTCTCTCCTTATTTTTCATCTTAGGTAACGTAATTGTGATGCTTCCTTGGGTCCAACTTCTTTGGGACTCTCTGAGCTTCCTGGACTTCCTAGAAGTCTATTTCCTTTGTCATATTGGGGAAGTTCTCTTTCATTATGTTTTCAAATAAGTTTAATGGTTATTGGTCTTCCTCTTCTCCTTCTGGCACCCGTATGATTTGGATGTTGGAACGTTTAAAGCTGTCCAGGAAGTTCCTAAGTCTCTCTCCTCATTTTTTAAAAATTCTTGTTTATTCTATTCTGGGTGAGGGTTTATTTTTTCCTTCTGCTCCAAATCATTGATTTGAGTCCCTGTTCCCTTCTCTTCACTGTTGGTTCCCTGTATATTTTTCTTTATTTCACTTTGCATAGCCTTTACTTTTTCCTCTATTTTGTGACGATACTCAACCATTTCTGTGAGCATCCTGATTACCAGTGTTATTGAACTCTGCATTTGATAGGTTGGCTATCCTTTTTATTGAATTTTGATCTGTTTGTTTATTTATTTATTTATTTATT